GGAATATTCATACATATGCTTGTATTGGTATTAATACTCGTATTGGCATGAGTACTAGCATTAGTACGTATCTAGGCATGACGATTCTTATATGAATATAAAAAGGGAACATGATTATTAGTATTCGTAAGAACATTAGTTTTCCTATATACATTAATGCTAACTAATATTCCTATGCATATTAGTATTGGCAAGAACATTAAAGTTCGTGTTCACATCAGTTCTAAAATTGGTATTGGTACAATTTTTTCAATACTAGGAGTAGATACTAGTAGTAGTAGAATCAAAATTAGCATGAACAAAACATGCGTTGGTATTCGTCGGAATATGAAACTTGAGGTTACTCTTCGTATGAGTTACTAGTACTACTGGAAAACATGCCAACGCTGATAGAAATACGAACGCTAACATTCATGTATGAGCATTTTATTATGCACGCTCGCACTAGCCTTAATGCTAATATTATCATGACTATGAGTACTCCGAAAATGAGTAATTTCACGAATATGCGTAGCCAATATTCATACTAGCGATAATACTAGCTATAGTATGTATATTAGTATTCGCATCAAGACTATTCTTACAATGTACATGATTTCTAGTATTCTTGGGAACATCAGTATTCATACTAGCATTACTATCAGTTTCACCACTAGTATTACTATAAGTATTAGTACTCGTACGAGTATTATAGTTTTCAAAATTTTCAAAATAATATCAATATTATTACAAGTATCAGTTGCACAGACCCGTCAACCGGCGACGTCGCGAGGTCGAGTTCCCTAAATTCTCTAATCACTGCTTCCATGCCTCGAATTTACAGAATGCGTGAGTTCCTGCAGACTCCCTAAATCCCTAAAGTCTTTACATACCCTAATTTCCAGCCCCATGTGTTGGTTTTAGCCCATTGCCTAACTTTCCTGACTCCCAGCCAGGACCATGTGTTGGATTTAGGGAATTCCCTAAATTCCCTAATTTCCCAAAATTCCCTGAATTCCCTAAATTCCCTAATTCCCTAAATTCCCTAAATTCCCTAATTCCCTACCCCATCTGTTGGACTTAGGGAATTATCTAATTCCCTAAACTCCCAAAAATTCCTTAAACCTAACCCTTATAGGGAATTCCCTAATTCCCTAAATTCCCTAAGTCCTTACCCCATGTGTTGGATCTAGGGAATTCCCAGTTTCCCTAAATTCCCTAAATTCCCTAAATTCCTTAATTCCCTACCCCATGTGTTGGATTTAGGGAATTCCCTATTTCCCTAAATTCCCTAAATTCCCTAAATTCCCTAAATTCCTTAAATTCCCTAAATTCCCTAAATTCCCTAATTCTGACCCCCATGGATCAGATTCAGTGGTTTCCGTTCATGGGTAGGGAATTTAGGGAATTTAGGGAATTGAGGGAATTTAGGGAATTTAAGGAATTTAGGGAATTTAAGGAATTTAGGGAATTTAGGGAAATAGGGAATTCCCTAAATCCAACACATGGGGTAGGGAATTAGGGAATTTAGGGAATTTAGGGGAATAGGGAATTCCCTAAATCCAATGGGTAGGGAATTAGGGAATTTAGGGAATTCAGGGTTGGTCTTGGGGGGGGGGGGGCTAGCATATATATATATATATATATATATATGTATATATATATATATGTACATATATATATATATGTATGTATGTATATGTTTGCAGTTTTATACAGGCATATACATCCGCATCTGCGTTTACATTTATATATTCATACGCATATACCGTATGCATATCCATTTACATAGGTTCTTGTATACAGTAGGCTACATCATTAGGATCCATTGTCTACATTACATTTCCAAAATTTCGTTGCGCGACGTTACATTACATCTCGTCAGTTTGAATATTTTGACTTACATTACGTTACACTACAGTGCAGTACACTTGCCTACAGGTCAAGGCATTACATCACATTACACTTACATCGCATACGAGAACTACACAACACTCACGCACCCATGTAGCCACGCGTGTTCCCGAGTTATGATACCAGCAGCACTGCGTTGCAAAGCCTCAGCTTCTTCAGCTCTAAAGCACTGTAGACTCTGTAGACCCCAAACCTTAAACCCACAGAATCGGGTCTTGTAATAGGGGTTCCTTAGTATGGTTATAGTATAATGTACCCCCAAAACCCTTTTCCAAAGCTAGACTGGAGCCGCAAGGCTCCAGGAAGTCGGGACATAAGTATGCAGAGTATCCGGCTTAGGGTTTATCATTTTGGGTACATATTTAATTTGGGATGTTTTCGAATTTCCCTTCTTGGTTTGGTAAACAGCACTGACTATCAGTTTGATGTTGAACTCGACAGCTGCTACATGTAGGAAGCTCAGGAACCCCCTTAACCCTCATTGAGCCTTGGCTCCTGAAGTAGAAGCCAGGCGTAGCGGCGGACGACGAGGAGTTGCAAGTTTATTTTGGGAGCTTGGGAAGCTCTCTGCTGGGCTCTCGGAGCGACGTTGGTCTCTGCAAGTAATTTCTATGTCGGCAGTACAGGGTTTAGGGGTTAGGGAAGCCTAAGAGAGGGGTGAAAGTTCTGGCTAGACTTGAGTCCAGTACCCCAAACCCAAAAGCCAGTACTTAGCAATTGCACGCGGCCATAGCATGTTTTCTTGTTGTATTTGGCCCTTGTGGCTTCAGCCACCGGAGTCAACAAAGGCCAAACTGTCAACGCAGACCCTTGAACTTCAATAAAGTAGGGGCCAGGGTTCCTTGGTGATTTCTGAGTGTTCGTGTTGGCGGTTTCAGAGTCTGAGGTACGTGGGGTCGGAAAACTACAGGCCACAGAGGGTGATGTCTGCAGCCACACTGAGGGCGACGGTCTTTCAGATAACAACGCTGGAGGACATGTCCGGTGGGCGGGAGGGTCCAGGGTATCCCTAGGAATCCGTTTACATAGGTCCAAGACACTGAAGCTTATATGAACCTAAGTTCACGACTACGGGAACCTTATTATATGAACCTCCACTACAGGTCATATTGCCACCGACAGCCGATGTCTCAACTTTAACGCTTTACGCCAACCTCACACTGTATGAATCAGGCAAGCTGACAAACCGCTGCGACTGCTACATAAAAGTATTTATTGGCTACTATCAGAAGAAGTTGGGCAGTAATGGATAATGGCTGCTGCTGCTGCTCTTGCTCCTAGTCCCAGTACTGCTACTACTGTTAGTCTCCCCTTTGTTAGCCACTATACTGCTCCTGCTACTGAGACTGCTACTCCTACGTACTCCTACCACTACTAGCTACTAGCTACTAGCTACTAGCTACTAGCTACTAGCTACTAGCTACTAGCTACTAGCTACTAGCTACTAGCTACTAGCTACTAGCTACTAGTACTAGTACTAGTACTACTACTACTACTACTACTACTACTACTACTACTACTACTACTACTACTACTACTACAACTACTACTACTACTACTACTACTACTACTACTACTACGACTGCTTCTGCAATTGCTACTGCCAGTGCGACTACTGCAATTCCTGCATCTACTGCAGCGACGACTCTAAGACAACACGAAAAAGATCAGCAAACAAAAACGTGGAGAGTGGCGGGAACCGCAAACGAACCAACAACATGCCAATAACTGCAGGTAGGAATGCCTCATGTTGTGACTGCAGTCAGAGCGTTTCAGATTTAGGTTCAGTGCCATGTACGAGACTATGATGTACCTGGATGTTGTCGTCGTGTGTCCCCGACTTGGAATCCAAACCTTCAGCCAAACTCTGAGATGCAAAATAGGGGCCTAAATAATTGCCTATACTTTTTTGGGGGATTCCTTTATAGTATCATGGGCTCCAACTATTTTAGTTACGAAGGCTCCTATATGAGAACCCTACTATAGATCCCCTACCCCTTTAAAGGTCCCCTTGAAAGGAACCCTACTCTAAGTATTAAGGCCCCATATTAGAATCCCAAAGCGACTGGGGGATGCTCCACAGCCTCATAGGTGAGCAGAACAACTGTTGCAAAGATGGACGTGTCAATGTTCTTTCGATTCATCTGCATCAATACGGCTCTGACTTCTGAAGCCTACACCTATAGCTCTGTGACTTTAGAGCCATCCTGGCTCCCAAGCCCTGTCAACATGGTTGCAACCAACCTTTAGACTTTAATTAGCAACTTCCTAAATCCGGAACCCTGCCAGCAGAGCGAGAGGATTGGCCAATCGTCGCCGAGAGAATGATCCAGTCCCAAAGGCTTCAAAGTCTCGGGGAGTTAGCTAGGGTTGAGGGTTTAGGGTTGAGGGTTTAGGGCCAGCTAGAGGGACTGCCAATGAAGGGGTCTTGTCTCTTGCTCAAGGCTGCAGAGATTTTATAGTTCAGGTTTTTTGCAAGGATTCGAAGTCGCGGCTTCGCGTGGATCGCCACCAAAAACCCGGGGTTCTGCTCCATCCCAAACCCTAAACCCTAAACCTGAACCCTAAACCCTGAACCCTGAACCCTAAACCCTAAACCCTGTGAAGCCTTCAACTTCAAGAAGGCTCTGGTGGTAAATCATGGGGGGCCTTCTCTTCGCAGTAGTTACTGGGTCTGGCTTGGGGCGGCTCATGACCTGCAGGTTCCTGGGGTTTAGGGGTTTTAGGGGTTTAGGGGTTTAGGGGTTTAGGGTTTTAGGGGTTTAGGGTTTAGGGTTTAGGGGGTTTAGGGGTTTAGGGGTTAGGGGTTTAGGGGTTTAGGGGTTTAGGGGTTTAGGGTTTAGGGGTTTAGGGTTTAGGGGTTTAGGGTTACGGTTTAGGGTATGATAATGTGAGCCTTCAGGGCCCTGCTTGAGCTGACCATGGGGCTGCGAGTCGTCATGTAGGGCCAGTTCCGCTCTATGCTCTATTCTAACGCCTACTTTGAGGATCATGGGACTTAGTAAGTAGGGTTATAAATCAGGTAACTATTCTTTCTTTCGGATGGCTTGTGTTCGGTGAACGCGCCACATGCACGCAAATTCGGTGAGACGGAAATAAACTGGGGCTCAGGAACCCGGCGAGCGGAGGCCCGAGGCGGTCTGTACGAAGCCCGCCCGCAGGAGCCAAGCGCCAGCAGGTTCAAGCGCCGCCAGTGCCGCAGCAGAGGCACGGAGGCGCACAGGGTGCGCCGCAGAGGTCTGAGCGAAGGTCCCCAGAATATCGCAACTGGTCTCGAGCCAGCGCATGAACCCCGACGCAGCGGCCAGAGGCAAGCTGCAGGTGAAGGGATACGCGTATCCCTGGAGCGGGGGATCATCGATGCTGAAAGCGGCAACCTCCCCAGTCAGGACGAAAGGGAGCTGACACGTCGGCCTCCAGTCAAGCGCCTCGAAGACATCCACGCTTCCACCGTTGGCGCGAGAAGCTCGAAAGTCATCGCAACACAACTGTGGGTCGAGCATGAGTTTCACGTCCTCTGCTACCTCTGCCACACCGGGGGCTGCACCTGGCGGGGACGCCCATAGGTCAACCGTGGCTCGAAGAACGGAAAGGGGCTCGATGAAGTCCTTGATGACACCCCAAGCCGTGTCGCAGTCAGCGCAATCGAGCGCCTGCAAAGTCTCCAGCAGTCCTTTATGATAAGTAGCAGGGTCTATCTCGGCATGACCTCCAGACATGACTCCTGGGACACGGAGAGGGAGGGCCAGGGCATGCATAGCCGGAAGGGACGCAGAGTCTGGCCGGAAGGAGCCCCATGCTTTCCGGCAGGGGACGCTGCTGAGTAGGTGCCGGCGGAGCCGGGCCGGCTTTGCGAAGCACTTGCCGCATCCCAGACACAGCCTGTCGTGGGTGCCGGCCATCTGGGAGGTGACGAGTCGGTAGCCGTGCTTCTTTGAGGCGTGACAGGCCCAGGCGGATCTTGAAGTGAACGCCATACCACAAACCAAGCATGCCTCAGTAAAGACCTCCCCGCAGTTGGCAGAGGGCGCAATGGACGCACCCTCAAGGGCATGAAGGCCTCGGAGGAGCGCCCGCAAAGCTGCATAGCCGGAGGTCCTCAAGATCGCGAGGCCCCTGGCCCGTCGCACTAGCCCCTTAAAGCGGCCCGGCGCTTGGCGCATCAGCGAAGTCCATGGCTCAGGCTCTGCATTGGGGCACGGCAGGTCGGTGGTGCGATGCACCCAGGAGTAAAGCCAGGCCATCGAGGCTTGAAGGGCTCGGAGATACGGCAGGTCGAGCCGCACCAAGGCCCACAGCTCGCTCGGGGCCCCCGCGACGAGCTGACGCAGATAAGTGAGCCTCTCGACATGCAGGACGGTGTCCGCATCAGGTTGCCCGACCAGCGAGCAGACCTCAGCCGTAGACAGGTGTTGGTCGCCGTCCTTGGGGACGGCTAGAGTTGCCCGATACAAGGCGAAGAGGGTGCGGGAGAAAACACGGGACTCGCATACACGCAAGGGCGGCCAGGCACCTGCGCCGAAAGTCAAACGTGAGAGCACAAAAGTCCGGAGCAGCGCTCCCCGCCTAATTAGCGAGATGCGCTTGCAACGAAAGACCCAGAGCTTCCAAAAGACACTATTTAAGAAAACGCACCTTATTTAAGGAATTGTGCGGGAAATAATTGCTTAATTAAGGTCTTTTTCCTTATTTAAGGTGTTTTTCTAGAAAAAGTTGCTTAAATAAGGGGTTTTGGTCCTTAAATAAGGTGTGCTTTCTTAAATAAGGTGTTTTTCCTTAAATAAGGTGTTTTTTTTTGACACCTTAAATAAGGTATGTTATTTGTATTCGTCATGTTATTGTATGCTTGTGTGGTGTATGCGTGTGTCTGTGTGTGTGCGTGTGTTTGTCAGTACGTGCTTGTGTGTGTGCTTTGTGGCCGGTTGTTTTTCCGCATCCGTGCAAGTCTGCAGCTCAGGCCAGTGTTGGCAACCTCCTGTTGTTGACACAAAACTTGCTAAGCATTTGCTTGGAAGTGCCTTTCATCGAGTACTTTCCTCCACGACGTTTTGCGTGGAGGGACAACACATGGCCGAAGCCCTCGTCTCGATACGTCCACGTCTCGCTGGGCCTGCGCTTTTGGCGGCCCAGCTCGAGAAGCAGGTGCATCTTGGGCTTTGTCCTAAAATATGTTTGCCCTGGGAATTTACTCAACTCTACAAACAAAGCTGCAAACTTATTGACAGTCTTGTGAAACTTCTCGGCATCCCAATGCCTTTCGGACAAGAACTCATAGCAACTGTGCAGATGCTTCGCAGTCTGCCTCACCGTTCGCTCGAAATCTGAATTGCCCATGTGCCTTTCAGCGCATTCCTTGGCGAATCCGATGAGGTCGCGAGCCTCGCCGGCTTTAGCCCGCAACTTGGGCCACTTCTTGTTTTTGCCTTTCAGCATGAGCGGAGTCAACGTGCTCATGCGGGACTGGGACAGGTTTCGGCGATAATAATTTTGAATATCGCCAAAAAGGTTCTTGCAGCGATCGTGGACACTTCGCTCGGGGAGCTTTGTCTGCACGACCATATGAAAAAGCCCACCCATGTAGTCAGCTGCACATCCTAAATCCATGCAGTGAAGCCAATCAATGCAGCACTTCTGTACTGAGAAGCAAGGACCACTGAAAAGAGGGCTCAAGTTCTTGCCTTCAGAGATCTGCCTGGCCAGGAACTGGTAATGCGACAGGCGCGAGCTCCTGCAAGGGCATTGGCCGAATGGTCTAGAAACCAAGTTTAGACAGTTGGGGGTAGGGAAACTGCTGGGGTAGAAAACCAATTATATGTTAAAAAAAAGGAGAGGCCTCCTCAATAGGAGGCCCCTCCTTATCCTAGAAACGGAAAAATCAATGAGGAGATGCCTCCTCGATAGGAGGCACCTCCTGGAGCAAAGTGTCCTCCAAGAGCTGCTCTCGTCAACATCATGTAGATCTTGCAAAGTCGCTTGACAAAACCAGCAGATTGGGCCGTTGCCAGTCCAGCCAGGTAGTCGCAACACTTCCTGGTATGCCGACCAATCCGCCCGCACTTCCGCCAAGACTGCCCGGCAGCCTAGCGGCTGCGAGGCTCTCCTCTTTCGCCAGCTGTCGTTGCCAAGGAAACGAGACTCGTCGTGACGGAAGGACGGGAAGAAGCCAGTATAACAGCATCTCATCGACCAAGCAATGATAGCCGTGACATCATCCCAGGTAGCTTCAGGCATCTGAAAGAATTTTGGAAACCCTGTCAGTGGAAAGCGAAAGTCGCCAGCATCTGTAAGCCCTGGCAAGCTGAGGGTTGCACACTGCAGTGTCTGGCTACGGTCTGAGCGAAACGGTACACCGTCTAGCCACAGCCCCAACAGCAGGACATCATTGCCGTGCTCTTGAAGTTGCTCTTGCAAGTTGGGAATCCGAGCTTGTTGATTTCTGATTTCCGAAACATCGTTAGACTCCAGGAGAACGTGTAGCACTTCGTGCGGAAGCATGAAGGCCAGGGTGTAGAGGTCCTCCTTGCCAGTCCTTGGATTCTTGCCCCGGACTTGGCACTCATATGGCGGCGGCCACGGTGTTCGGCGAAGATTGCGCCGAAGCAAGTTCCTGGCAGTGTTGCTTCCCTGCTTAGCCTGGGCCAGATCTTTGACCCCCTTGGCGCCTGCGAGCCCAGCATTTTCGCAGAGTCGACTGGCTCTGGCTCCACTGATGTTTCCAGAAAAAAACAAATCCATGCAATCATGTCTAAATCTATCTTCCTCTGCGATATGCTCCAAACTAGATGCCGGCCCTTTGCTCAGCATGTCTGCACAGGAGGCACATCCTTCGTAGGAGTGCCATCCTAGAATTCGAGCCCAGCGAAAGCGAAATGCACGGCAGCAGAGACTTGCAACTCCGAGCGAGCAGTTTTGACCTAGCGACTCAGCGAAACCAAAACATGGCATGCAAGCCAGTTTGCCATTTTCCACAAGCCGCCAAAACTGAAGCTTCCAGCTCTCAAGATCGGATGAGCATCCATCGCAAAAGATGGATTTGTGCAAGCTTAGACACCGAAGCGGCTCTTCAACTTCTTGTTGTAGGCCGTGGCTGCAGCCAGGTGGCTGGTGGCTTCCTCACTCAGCTGGGTGAGCTCCGGCAACTTCGCTTCCATGCATCCCTCGCTCATGTTCATCCACTCGCTGATCTTGAAGCGCAAAGTCTTCAAGAAGCCTCGGAGGGTCTCGATCTTGGGCCCAACTTCGTCCGCCTCCGCTTGGGGACCGTGAGCAACCAGCTTGGCGTGCTGCTCCTCGAGCTCGTCCGCCACCTTCCCCAGCTTGCTCTTGGCGGCCTTGCAAGCACTGTAGGCCTTGTTCCAAGCCTCTTCGTTGGCGGGCACCTCCAGGTCCGGGTTGTCGAACTTCTCGACGAGCCTGCCGAGGTCGCTTCCTTCCACGTTGGCGCAACTGCTCCAGCCCAGCGAGTTCGTGGCAGCTGTGTCCTCCGTTTCGACCTTCTGCTTGTAGTAGTACTTGGCCAGCAAGGGGTTCTTGTGAGGCTTGCAGTCGGACTTGAAACCAAACTCTGCCTCACAGTCGGCGATCAAGTCCTTGAGCGTGTCAGCAGCCACAGCCTCGTCCATGTTGCTCGGGTCCAGGCCGTTCATCTTGAGGATCTGGCTCCTGGAGAAATCATTCGAGTAACATTACAAACCAATCTTACTTGAAATGCCAACTGAAAATAAAAAACTGAGCATAAAAAAAGTCCTGTTGAAGTAGCCCTTCGTGGTGCTCTCCTTGTCCACGCTTTGCGTTTGGTATTCGCTTTGCATCTCGGCGAACCAGCTGAGGTCACGAAGCCCGCTCGTTTGCAATTTCTGCAATATTTCTTTTTTTCCATGGACGCCAGACTGTTGGTACTTCAGCAAGATATCGTTCGCTTGTTCGCGATGCTTCTCCGTCATTTTCTTAGCCTTGATTTGGTACTTGAGGCTTGTGAGCAAGCCTGCCACCTCTGCCTTGGCCATCCCCAAAGTTTCCTTCGGCTTCTGGGGCGACAAGGGCTCCGTCTTGACAGGTTCCCCTGCGGCCGACTTGGTTCGCCTTCTGCGGGGGGAGGTGGTCTCGTGGTTGCTCGGCGAGGCTGCTGCGGCCTTGGCCTTTGCCGTGGCCTTCGGTTGGGTGTTGGCCTTGGCGGTGGTCTTCGCCTTGTTCTTGGCGACGGCCTGAGCGACAGCGCTGCGACTGCGGAGGAGCCCCATCTTGCAGGGGACGGGTGCAGGAGGCGAGGAGGCCAGCACGTCAGGAGCCCAAAGCAGCTTCGTGAAAACACGTTTTTTTTTTTGCAAGAATCTAGGAGGACCCTCCTTCACAGGAGGATCCTCCTACAAGTGAACATCGGTTTGGGATGCACATGCAAGGCTGAGGTGGACTTCCTAGGAAAGCACTGCAACATGTGTCCGAAAATCTTCCAAGGACCAAGCTCGACCCTCAACTTGCCAATCGCCAAAAAGGAGGGCCCTCCTTTGTAGGAGAGCCCTCCTGGGAACCTCTTCCTCGTCAGTACCACACGGCACCGCAGACGGTCGCATTTTTTCCAAGCGCCACGGAAGAGCACGGTCGCCAAGCAACCTGGGATGGGATTTGTTGAGGTTGTTGGTTTAGGGGTTGCTTCTAGCTTTTTCCCAAGCCCGACCCCCAGCCAACCACTAACAGCCAGAAACACCAGCCCATCCAACCCACCCCCCCACCCCCCCCAACAACACAAAACAAAACTTCTAGCCCACCAAAACTTCCCCCCCCCCCCGACACACCCCGAACAGTTCAGCACGAAAGCCCCGACACGAAGAAACTGCACCCGGCAACACAAGGAAACACAAGCCCGACAACAGACCAAACCGAAACCTTTGCAGCCAAGGAGCTCAGATCATAGCCGCCACAGCCACAGCAGAACCTGAGGCAGCAGACACCCCTAGGGCTAAAATTTTTAACCCATGGGTTAAAATTTTTAACCCTTCCTTTATATATTTAAAAGCAAGCAGGGTTAAAAATTTTAACCCATCGGTTAAAAATTTTAACCCTGGTCTTTCCCGACTGAGCTTGCAAAACTGTTTCCAAACTTGTGTTTCGTTTTCGGGGGCTGGCCTCTTTACTGAACGAAATCTTTCGGGATCTTCACCAAACCACCCTAAACCCAAAACAGATGTTACTAGTACACAGGAACAACATGGTGCCAATGATGTGAAAACTCTGGGCTGCACTCTAGAAACCGATCCAGGGCCCGTGTCACCTAGTACAAGTCCAACCCGACCCAAGCAAAATACCCAAAACTAGAACCGCTGCACCCTTTTGGCCTATAGGGAGAGCCTTTTTGGTAGGAGACCCTCCCCAAGTCCACCCTGCTGCCGCCCAGCAACCATCACTTGTCCGCCGGGTCGCCGCCCTTCTCCCCCTTCTCCTTCTCCTGGTTGTCGCCCGCATGTGGCTCTCCTGCAGCAGAAGCTCCGAAAAAACAAACACACACACACACACACAAACTGTCCTTGATCGTTTCCAGCTGCAGGGGCGACGGGCCTGGGTCGCTCAGGATGCAGACGGCTTCCACCGAACTTAAAGGAAAACCGAGACCCGTACGACAACACAATCCATGACCCCGTTGGCGAAGCTGGTGCCGCCGCCTGGCTCCGAGCCTCTGCTGCCTCTGCTTGGCGGCGACGTTTCTCCGGATCGACGGCCTTGGCTCAAAGCACGCACAAGCTGAAGCAAAACAGCAGAGTATTGCGGCCCAGCGGCAACAAGACCCTCTCGTGGACGTTTCTCCGCTTCCGTCTCACCCCACCATTTGCCCTTGGGGCAGCCAGCAGCCTTGGTCTTTACATAGGAGAGCCTCCTGTATAGGAGACCCTCCTTTAATCCCTTACACATAGACAGGAGCCCATGTACGATTTATACAGAGCTAGGACCCTATATTTCTACATGAAGGTTGCAATTCAGGGAGAGCCTCCTTCATAGGAGACCCTCCCTAGTGCCAAGCTGCATGCCATTGCTTGACCGATTCCTGCCATTGCTTCCGCTTAAGTCCCTTGTTCTTCTTGTTCTTCTTCTTGATGTTTTGCGAAACATTGGCACCGTGGATATCATCGAACTCCTTCGGGGTGTAGTCCGGCTTGCCTCCCTTCTGCTTGTAGGGGTTCCACGGCTCCGACCGGTTGGGGTTGTAGATATAGTAGTCGCCTTGCTCGTTTTCAGGGTTAAGGGCTCTGGCTTGGAGCTTCGGGCTCGAGGTGTTATGGGCCTTAGAGACTTAAAGGATTAGAGGATGCACCCAAACACTTCTGTAGACTGTAACCCCCCGCTACAAATAACTGCTAGCCAAGCTGCACTTTTTGTTGACACAGCCGTCTTTGCGGATGTACCCATACGATTTGCAGAACTGACAGTACCTCAGGTCATACTCCGGCTCATCATCCGGATCCTCGTCCGGCTCGTCGTCTTTCCATGGCTCCCAGTACGACTTGTCGTCGCGACCTCCTCCTCCGCCCCAGCCACCTGAGCCCCAACCGCCAGAGCCCCAACCGCCGCCGCCTGAGCCGCCGCCGCTGTAGTAGCTGGTGCCCGTCGTCGCCATTGCAACGGGCTGGCCGAGAGTGCAAAAGGAACAGGGTTCGAGCCAAAGCAAGCTGCATTATATGCATTCAGCGCACACATGGTTTCACAGCAGCAACATACAAAGCGCAAGTGCTTTGCAGGACCCAGGAGAGCCTCCTCCATAGGAGGCCCTCCTTGCAAGACAACAAGATCTCGCACGCACTTCTAGCTGCAGCTTTTCACTACACACCAGAGCATGTGCCGGATACTATACTCAGAATGTCTCTAAAGGCCGTGCCCCTAAACTGTCAAAGCCCGCAAGTCACAACCCCCACCCCTCTCACAAACGAAGTTCAATAACCATATACCAAACATATACCAAAACAAAACATTGAACGTGGAATGAAAAACAAACACCGCATATCCCAGCTAGGAGAGCCTCCTCCAAAGGAGGCCCTCCTTGACATCCTTCCACACGAAGACGTGCTTTAGGCACTGTCGAATATCGCAAGGCATCCTTTTCGCCGCTTCCAGGCTCCTTATAGGACAAAATCCTAGCCAACTGATCTAACCAGCTGCCCGGGGGGTGTCATCACTCGAAACATAGTTTGCTCCTTCATGGTAAACAAACCAACGAATATCGCTATGCCAAAGCTCGTGTACGGCTTGGACGGTTTTGCGATCTCGAGGAACAAGAAAAGCCCAAATGAGGTCGGTCGCCCTTGCACAACTGAACTGGTGGATGCTGTCGCCGAAGATGGACCATTGGACGTCCAGCAGCCAGGCCGTGTGTACCTGAGCCACCTGAAACTGGTCTTGTAGATCAAGATATTCCCAAATCCTCCGGCCAGCCTGGACTCGGGCGAGCGATTGCAGCAAGTCTTCCATTGCTGAGTTCTGCAGATGTTGGGCCGAAAAGTCGCTGCGAATATTCCTTTCAATTCACATGCCAGGAAAACAAAAGACGAACACGGCGACGGAAACTGCATGCGAAGCTTGCACACGAAATTGCAGGGGCCTTTCCTTTTGCATCTCGTTTGCTTAGATGGCAAGCATAGTGTGAAAATCATTTGCCTCGCTCACAGACATGATCAGTCAGACCTGTGCGAGGCGACTCTTACACCAATCTTCGGCATCAGCTTCTTCAAGCTCGCCGCTCTCAAGCTTCTGGACACATGCTTTTGCGATCCTGTCCATCTGCCAAACAGGGACGCCTTTTCGGCCGAACTGGAACAGCTGTGAGAAGGGAGCCTGCTTCTGCCGAATGGCCTTCTTGTGCCTGGGCGCCTTGTAATACATGATGGTGTATGTGCGCCGTCCCACACGATCCTGCTGTGCAGCAGCTACGTTCTCCGGCTGCTCCTCCGCAACTGATGGCTGGGGCTCCATGCCACTGTCCTCGTTTTCTTCGAGGCTGGCAGAGCTAGCCGAAGCACTTGCCGTTGTCGGTGCTGCAGCCGGCCTCTTCTTGGCAGCCGGTTTTTTCATCACTCGAGCAGCCGGCCGCTTCATCCGCTGAATTCGCAGATTTGGGATCTCTGTGGACACTGCCTCCGCCGAGCCAGGGAACAAAGCTTTCTGGAATCCGTCTTCGCCTTTTTGCATCGTTGCCATCACCAAAGCCCCACTGGGATAAGCACGAACCATGCAGAGGCGAGCAGAGTCGAAGTACTCTTGGTATTCAGCAGACCCGTCTCCGCCCGAAGTTTTGTCTTCCACTGGCAAAGCTGCCGTAGGAGGTGCCTCCTGAGTAGGAGACATGACCTCCTGCGAGGAAAACACTTCCTGCACGTGGGCAGGAGACAGCCCAGTCTCCTCCACCTCTGCACCTGGATCTGAAACTGGCGCCTCCAGGCCGTACTGTGTGAAGATCTGCTCCTTGCTGCTGCGAGTCGCAGGAGCCACCGAAGAGGGCGAGGGCCGAGGACTTGCAGCAGGTTTGGATGCAGAAGAACTGAAGCTGCTTCTGGAGACTTCTCGTGCCACACTGCCGCCCATGCCTTTCAAGAACATGACCACCTCACGAACGGCAGGTGGTAGCTTCTTCCCAGACGTGCAACTGCGCTTGCTGCGACAATGACATACCGCATTCACAAGCTTCTCGCACCAAGGCTTGCAAAGTTCTCTACTGGATTCCGGGAACAAGCTCATGCAGCCAGCAAGGAGTACCTTCACGGTGGGCCTGCTGGTTTCCTTCAAGACGTCCAGGATCAAAACCTTGTACTCAGCCACGACCTCATCCAGGCTTAAGTTCATATACTGGTCTGGTTTAGGGGCATCTGCAAAGCCATTCCCCTTCAATACTTTCTTGATATCCTTTGCACTCGCTTCATTGCGGGCTCGGGCCATCTCTACAGGAGGCCGCTGCAGCCAAAACAAGACTGCAGGAGGAAGTTGCACACGCATGGCATAATCTGCGGGAATGCTGCACCTATCTCTTCCAAGCAAATCAATTGCTCCAGCTCGTACGGACAAAGAGACAGAGAGAGACACAGAAACTCCGGTGTCTGTGTGTGTCTGTGTTTTTTTTTTGTGTGTGTGTGTGTGTGTGTGGGTGTGTGTGTGTATGTGAAATTCTGTTTGTTGGTTTCTCTCGCTATGTATAAGTATGTGTATATAGTGTATATGACTGTATTAAAAAAAACACCTTATTTAAGGTATGAAAAAAACACCTTATTTAAGGAAAAACACCTTATTTGAAAAACAAAAAAACACCTTAAGCTTAAATAAGGTCTTTTGGAAGATCTGGGGAGTTTGGTGCGATTCTCCCGGAAGGCGACCCACGCATGGTGGCAACGAAGCTTCAATTCCACTGCAATGTTGCCCGAAGGGTCAATGGTGACGCCCAAGTGGCGGTAAGCGGGTACAAGGGGCAACTTGGCATGTCCCCGCCCTTCGCACAAGACAGGGACAGTAGCGTCCCCTCTGAAGAGTTCGCGTTTGACTCGGCGAGCATCGGCTCCACGAAGTGAGACCAAAGCAGCGGTCTTACGCTCGCCGAAGCTAAGCTCAAATCCATGTGAGCCAAAGGCGTCGACCAAAGCTCCTGCTTCATTTGCCAGAACAGGGCGTACCCGAAGGGCTGAAGGGGGCCCCAGGCACACCGCAAAGTCATCTGCCCAGATGACATCAGCGAGCTTGGTCTCGGTGTGCTCGGCTGGCAGGGCGGCGCTCTCTCCCCAGTGTCGAGCACCGTCCCACAAGATGCGGCTGTTTGCCGCCTCGACAGTGGCTGGGGAACGCTGAGCATCACGGACACTTAAGATCCTCTGGGCCAAGACAGCGAAGGCAAGATCTGCCCACGCAGAGCCCGGTCGAGTACCTCGACGGGTCTGGATGATCTGATCATCGCGAGCTAAAGTCATCCAGGTGTTCGCATGTATTTCATGCGTGACCGCTTGGAGCCACTCGGACGCCCCCTGCTGTGCAAGGGCGGCCGGTTGCACCAGCTGGAACTCCAAGTCAAGTTCGGTGCTAGCCGGTGGAGCTGCGGCAGGCTGACTGTGCGGTCCGCTAGCTGTCAGGGCACGCTCAGTGCGATAATACGCTGCCGCTACGTCTGAGAAGACAATCACCGTAGATAGCTTGGCCGCATTACGATGGCGCAAAAAGGAGCGCACGATGTGCGATCCGAAAACCACCGATGCGCCGCGACGCCCCCCGAGTTGGAGGGGGTGTGCGACGGCCTCAAAATGCCGGGAGATTGCAGGCCGCAGCGCCCTGTGCAAAGCTTTGGCGATAACTGACAGCAAGAGAATTCCCCGATGGGAATCGCACGACGAAACCGAACCCCGGCCCTTATAGAGATGTGTAAGGACACCTCCTTTGAAACCCAAAGGTTCTTCACCGAGCAAGCAGAATTTCAGCAGGACTGGATACCAGATGTGGGCAAGCTGCCTTGGAAAGGCGGCGTTTAAGGCACTAGGGAGGCCATCGGGGCCCCCTGCCTTGCCCACCTGAGTGGATGCAAAGGCCTGGCACAGATCTGCAAGACAAGGGAGGTCGTGGATATGAGCTGGCATCGGAAGAACAGCCCGAGCCGCCGTGGCGAGAGCGCTCAAGTCCTGGGCGGAGACATCCACACCATTTTCCATGGCGCTGAAGTGCTCTCGCCACCGACGCTGGACCAAATGCGGAGTATCGCAAGGTTTGCCGCCATCATCAAGGACTTCTGGCAAGACGGCCGGTGCAAAGGCCCTCCTGCGTCGTCGGCAGAGTAGCCGCTGCAAGGCGGCGTCCGCGCCCGGCCGATTGCACTGCACGGCATCCGCCAGGCCCTCGACGTACCTGGCACGGTCATTTTTGCATTGTGTTTTGAGGCGCCTGCCAAGGACACGAAGCTGAAGGCCAGACACGGTGCCTGCAACACGCGCTGTGAGGGTCCATGGCCCTTCAAGCATGTCATGCAAAGCGTCGCCCCTCCCGTCACGCAAGGCGCGAAAAGGCAGCGAAAAGGAGGTGGAAACGCGAGTCCTGTCGGATCTTGGCGCAACGGCGCCGGAGGCGGGCAACCTGTGCATGAAGATCCCAGGCGGCCGCACTGAGGTACGGGTGGGTAGGGCCCCGAGGTGGGTCAGCGGCGACCTGCCGTAGCTCTGACTGCAGGAAACCGGTAACCGATGCTGCATGTGAATGGTTGCAGTCGCCCCACTCAGGTCTGGGTACCTCGTCAAGCACCCCACTAACCGCACTTTTAAGAGCAGGGTCACCAACAGAAGCCGGTACGCGGCCAGGAGGCTTGCATCGCGGGGCGAGCTTAGAGCAGCAGATCTGCATTCTGACAGACACGATGGCGGCCACATGGTCGACAACACCATGCGCAGCAGTGACCCCAGGGTCAGTCCAGCTGGCGACCTTGGCTTGACGCCATGCCAAGGGCAAAGCGATCATATCCGGGCGGATGAGGGCCTGATTCCTTTTTTGTGCAAAAGTCCAGCTGCTGCCCTGATGAACGCCCTCAAAGGTAGCTGGGATCCAAAGCTCATGGTCCCTCAGGATTCGATGAAGAGCCTCACCAGCGAGGTCCTGCTCCTCCGCCGCTAGGTCTGAGACATGGCAAGACACTTGGGTACCCACACTAGCGTTGAAGTCTCCGGCAATGATCAAGGGCCTGCCCTTTACCAACTTGCGAAGCACGCCTGCTGCCTGCCCCCACCATTGCTCCAAGAGGTGGTGCTCGGTGGTACGGTGTGGGGCGTGAAGGACGGCAAAGACGACCGAAAAGCCACATTGACATAGGGCAACTAGGATCCGTGCATCCCGGTGGAGGACGAGGAATTGCTCTTCACTCAGTGTCACCTCGTGAGCCTTGGCTAAGGACCCCTGCAAGACTCGGCGCCCTAGTCGGATCCACAACTCGACCCCTAAATGGCCATTACATGCACCAGAGCATAAGCGAAGGTAACCCCCGGTACGGACCATACCCGCCGGGGTACGGGCTTCTTGAATGGCCCCTATGTCAACGTCTGCAGCAGACAGACTAGCGGCAAGAAGGGCAGGGCGGGCTGGCTGATGTGCCAATCCTGCCGGGCACGCCTCAACATCAGAGGCGCCATGTCGGCCCCCCAAGGAAAGGGCATTATAAGTGGCCAATCGAATGGAAAAAGGGGCCCAGTGGCAATCTGCCCCAGGGTTAGCCGAGGTGCCGCTTCCACAGGGCTGAGCAGGTAAGAAGGGTTTCAGCAGCTTAACCCTATCGGCCGGGATGACATCGCGACCATTGCAGAGCTCCCCACCCAAGAAATCGGGTAAAGCGCTATCTCCGGCGAGCCATTGGCAGACCACTCCGATCCACGACCACATCTTCCCTCCAGAAGACCAGCAGTCAAAGTCCGACCAGCTCGGCCAAGGGAGGTACCCCAAGGTCCGGCCTTCCGCGACCAGTTTCGCAACCTGATCAGCAGCCTCGTTGCCAAAGATGCCGGCATGGCCTCGGACATAGGCCACAGAGAGGCGACCAGATAGAAGGGAAAAGGCGACAGAGGCAACGTGCCGTAGGGCTTGGCCAATGTGCGTAGAACAGGCATGGCTGCCATTGGCAATGGCCAAGGCCGCTTGGCAGTCACTAAGCACCTCTATGGTGTATCCCCAGAAGGCTGTAGGCAAGATCCACAACGCCGGGATCAGCGCGGTGCACTCGGCAGCGAAGGCCGAAGGAAGGGTGCTGAGCCTGCAGTCCTTGGCGCCACGGGGGCCCTCTAGCACGACCGGTGAAATGCAGCGGGGCGGGCGACCCATCACTGTGGGTCCACCACCTGACGGCAGCCAGGAGAACCTGTCCCAGCATCAGCGCCGGTTGACGTGGTGACGGACGTATCAAGACTGGCAGCGTCGGCGGCCTCGGAGGTCGGTCCCGACGGCAGGGAAGGCCCAGAACCACCCGGCCCACCACCGGAGCTGGAGCTATCAACTTCCGCGGAGAGAAAGGTAAGGGTGACGACCTCCCCATGGCGGACCTGGATATCTCCGCGGATGACAGAGAGCCCTCTGGCAGGGTCAATGCGGCACAACACAAAGCCATCAGGACATCTGTCCGAGAAACGGCAGAGTAGCGTCTGCAAAGGTAGACGCCCTTCTGCGAAATGGCACCACGAGAGTCGCAGGAGCATAGGTCGCAAATCGAGGAAACAAATCGGTCCCGCGGGCCCAGTGCCTTGCGCGGCCGGCCGGGTGACTGCAGCAATGACATTGCGAGATAGCACCCCCCGGTCCTCGTGGTCGATGATCATGGGATCAGGCGCATGCAAGATGAGGGAGTGTGGTGGCGTACCCAAACGGGCGGCAATGTCGCCGCGGAAAAGACCGCGCCTGCCTGCCGCAACTCGGAAGGAGAAATCAGCCTGCTCAGACATCGTCCACACAGTATCCTCGAAAGGAAGGTTAGGCGCCCATTCAGGAAGCCAGCCGGAGTCCGACCGCAGAAGGGCCGCAAAATTTGTGGTCGTGAGAGCGGGGTGGTCTGCCGGCACCAGCACAATGGCGTCACCGTGTGACAGTTGCAGCCGCCGCCCAGGGGGCACAGGCCAAGGCAGGTCACGATGATATACTGGTGTATCGCAAAAAGGGCGCCGGAAGCACGGGTGGCATCAATAACAACAACCGCTCCACCTGGTATCCACAAGGGAACGGCGAGCAAAACACCAACTCCCTGGAGGGATTGGGGGTGCACAGCACAGATTCTGGGAAAGGTCTGTCTGTGTAGGGGCGCACGGGCTACATTAACTGCCTCCAGGGCGGCGTCCTCACTGCTGCCGACTGGCAACCTAACAGAAACCAATTCGGGGCTAAACGCCTGGCGAACAATGACGAAAGTACCCTCAAGGAAAGAAGGGGCCTCCTCTCCATCCTCAGGGGAGCCACTGGGGTCGGCCTCTGTCGGCGCAGGGCTAGGCGGCCCGTCCACCGGCACAGGTAGGTCATGTGAGTGGGCAGCCTCGTCGGGCGGTGTGGGAAGACCCCCGGCTGGAGCAGACGCAGAGGATTGAGGAGCCTGTGCCGCGTAACTTGTGGAGCCGGGATTGTCACCTGGAGCCTGCATGCGGTCAGGCACCCTAGAGGGCAACCGTACAACCTCAACGACAAAAACCTGCCCTGGAGAGACATCAAAGGGAGCCTCGTCCCCGACGCCGGCTATCTTCCGGGCCCAGCCAGCTGGGGCATCGACATCAACCGATGCAAGAAGTTCAGCCTCTGAAACCTGACCCCCGTTTGCCCGGAAGGACCACCAGCCGGCGGCGAGAGCACGAGCATCAATGATCACAAGGCAGGGTGCTCGTGTGTCACCTGGGCGCCCTTCGTAGACTGCTATGACCGTACGGCAGTATAAACCATCAAGGGTAGCGTCGGTAACGCGCCGACTGGCAGGCACCAGGTGGAGTCTGGTCTCATGGATCCCGACACAGGCGGCTATCTGTCGCCGGTATGCAGTCGGGTGCCGGGGGTCCAAAATGAAGAGCATCACACAGTCATCGTGGACAAGGCAGTAAACCTGTCCAGCATCGTGGGCGGGAAAAGCTGGTTCTCCGCTCCACGGAAACCGCGCGGCTAATACCTGTTCCAGGGGGTATGCAACCGGTACGGTTTGATCGGGTGGGGCTATGAAGACAGTTAGGCCTAGACGGGTGTGAAAGTAGACGTAAAGGTACGTCATCAACCCCAACGAAAACTAGAGTCCCAATGCGCTCACTGACGCTAGCAAGCGCCAGCAGCTGATGTCGCGTCAGGTAGGCAGGCGCACTCACAGCAAAAATCCTACCATCCAGGCTCGAGGAGTCCACGCAGATGAGATTGTCCTGTAGCTGCCACTCTGCGAAGGCTAGGACCACACCGCTGCCTAACCTCGGCTGAGGAGCGGCAGGCGCAAGAAGCGGGAAACGGTCGCGGGCGGCAGGGCTTCTGGCCTGGCTGACTGAGCTTAAAACCTCGTGCACTGTTGCCGGCAGCTCAAGAGTCGGCTGGATAGATTCCGGAAGGTACCCAGGAACTAGCACAACGAAGTGGGCAGCGACCTCTTCCTCGTCAGCACTGCTGGATTCATTGGGGTCGGCATCCCGCAAGGTGACAAAGGGCCGACTGGGACATATCTCCAGCCCCTGCCCAGGAGGGGTGCATAGTAACGCAGCGCCGCAAGTGAGTCCTGCATGGCCCTAGTGGTAGGAGTGGGCTCAGACAGCCATTTGTGCGTGCGGGGCGCCCAGGCGAGGTCCCAGGCAAACCCTGTGCAGCCATGTGGCCAAAGTGAAACGCAAATTTGGGCCCACGGGGGGCACTCAGCGTGGACCTCAAGTGGGGAGTCACCCGGAACCCCAGGAAGTGGCCTACAGCCTAGAACCCCAGAACCGTCTACAAGGGGATTGCCATCGCCGGCATCGCTAGCGACAGGGTGGAGGCAGTACCCTGCTGCACCCCGAACCCCGATCGTAGACAAAGACAGGGGGAGAAGACCCCCTAGACGTGCCAGAGGCCCGACACCAGAGTGGGGATCACCAGGCGCCTTGCATGTATCGGCGGCCAAGCCGGCGGAGAAATGGACCACGGGATTGACACTGTGTGCACGGAAGAGCTTGCGCGGACCACTCTGCGAGGTGATCCTGTTGCGTGGTGTTCTGCTTCGCGCACCCTCAGCGGCGGGGTCCGGGCCCGGGGCAGGTCCCTGCCCAGGGGAGCTGTCAGAGGAGCTATCATCAGATGACTCCTCGGAAGACTCATGGTCCTCACTTGCCCCGTCGGTCGGGACTGGGATGTACTCAACTGCCAAGACACAGCAACTTGTGATCCTGAGATGCTCAATACCGCGAACATTTTCCTGCACACCTCCATTCAAGAAGACTTGGAAGCCATCGGGGACACCGTCCTGGAAACGTGCCTCAAGGTCTTGCAGCTGTGGCAGACAACTGGGCAGAATGCACCAAGAGAAGCCTTTCAGTATGGCCCTCAAATCGAAGAAAACGACAATCTGAGGCGGCAGGGGCCTGCCAGGCGGGACCGGTGTCCGGCTGAGTGCCGTTGTGGCCAACATGACAACCTCGCAAGGGATGCCGAGGTGCATGCTATTGGTGATTCTGGGTCGGCTCACTTTACAAGTGAGATCGTCGGCTGAACATTGCAGAGCACCAGCGGCCGCTTCCCGAAAATCGTCGGTTTCCCGGATGCGACCGCGGTCGATCTGAGCAAGTCGAGGCAGGCCATCCGTGAGAAGCAGAAAGGAATGGCGACTAGCAAGCATGAAGTCGGGCGGTGAGGCATGCCAGAGCCTTGCCCGGTTGAGCTTGAACTGCAAGTCGTATAAAGTTGGTAGCGGAGCCGCTCTTGGCAGAATAGTGACGAGATCTCCCTGTTGCAGGGTGAGGGGGCGTCCTGGGGTGGTGGGTTGCCGCCCTATGTAAACCGAAAGGTCATCAGTACTCTTAAGACCAACTTGAAGTACGAAGGATCCCCATTGGATCCAGGCATCGATGACACGGGAGAAGATGCGCCCGTCGACCAACCGGCTATCAACCAAAATGACAACCCGCGAGCCCGCCCACGCGGGAAGTGCCAAGATGCATCCGAAGCCTTCACATGGTTGCGGGTCGACTCGTATCAAGGTGCCAAAGAGGGTGGCATCCTCGTCACCGCGTACAATCGAGACGATGTCTCCCGCTTCATCCTCACCCGAGGGGAAGTCAAGCTCAACATCGACGATTTCAGGCGTGCAGTCTGGCGCAAAGATGGCAAAATGCGCACGCCTGGTTTCATAAGTGATGGTGCACTCATCACTCTCAGCTACTAGCGGAGGTATGACCTCGTCTTGAGAGTCCCCAACCCGGGCGGAGACTGCCACAGTGCAACATGTCTCAATGACAACGAGGGAGTCACCGTCCCTAGCATTCACGACATAAGCCTCGAAGCCCCGAGGGAGGCATGGGTCAAGAAGCTCTAGGACGACGCTGGAGGGCTGTAGCCCGGGGGGCAGGTACCGGCCGGAAACTCCTCTGCATCTGCCCGAGGCCACATCCTAGGGGCTGAAGGGAGGCCTTCCAAGAAGACCCGGTCCGGCGGTCTGTTTGCAGACTCCAATCTCTCAAAAGCAGGATCCTGAACCAGGGGGGTTGCGGCATGTGATGGCATGCCATGCACGAGAACGGGCAGCGTGGCGAAGCCAAACAGTGCACACAGAAGACGGGAGAGACCCCATTTGGAGGCGGGTCTGCTAGTCCTGCCTGAGTAGTGGCATCGATGGTGCAGGAGGCGGCCGGAGAACCGCCCTTGTTCACGTGGCGAGAAATGGCACAGCCCGCAAACGATGCGGGGCGGTACCCCACACATAGGCAGCTGCATTGCACGGCTCAAAGGGGAGTCATGCCTGGGTAGATGCCAAAAGAGGGCTTTAAGAAGAGCCAACAATAAAAATCCCGCAAAGGCTCCTGCAAAACGGAACAACCATACCTGCCAAAAGACGCAGGAAGGGGAACTCGCACTCTGCTTCGGAGGCAAAGGCCCAACCCCCAAAGGGGGGACTAAGCCCGGAGGCCCCGCGGTCTAGAAGACCCCAAGTGGGAGGGGTCAAGGCTCCCATCCCTACACAACCTATACGGACGGAACATGTCCATATCTCACCCAAAAAGGGGAAAGCTGAAGGCCTGTGTCTGTCGGCTAGAGGGCCTCGGAAAGGCAAAAATGGGTCCTCTGCAGGGCAGGGCATTGGGCCTGCCGACGCGAGATCGTTCACACCTAAACCCCTAGGGAGGTCGGGCCTAAACCCTAGGGGCAGGCCGTAGAGCAGTGTTAGACCGATGGCTGTGGCTCCTGTCCCAGAGCTACCGATACAGGTATTTAGCGCCCACAACCAAAGGTCTTGTAAGGGAGGGTCCTGCGGCCGCACGGCGCGAGACACGGCAGGGCCAGAAGGAGAAGGGAGGCCCAAGGAGTGCAATGAGCGCGCAGAGCGCGGGCACAAAGGCGGGGTGGAAGGGCACTCCCCACCAAAAAGGCAGGCGGACCCCTCCACAGAGGAGACGGGAGGAGGAGCACGGTCACCATCCCAAACCCAAGCATGGCAAACCGCGCTCCCCTCAGCAGCGGAGGAGGAGGGGCCGAAGAAGCGACGCGAAATGAAACCTGAGCCGGTCCCGTGCCCCAAAAAACCCTCGACCAGAAAGAAAACTGTACACAGACTTCTGGAAGAAGGAGAGTCCAAGAAGAGACTATACACTGCGCTCACGTCAGCCACACTCAGAAGCCTGGCGCAAGAGCGCGCCGCATCACCGAGGCATTCGCCGCCGGAGAACTTAGGCCAACCTAGCTTCCCCAATGAAGCTAGGAGGGCCAACGGCTCCGCAGGCGTGCCGGGGTGAGGCCGGGCTCTCCATTGCCTCACAAGGCCTCGTCGATCACTCACTCCCTTCCGGAAGACCAGTAGCACCACCTGCCACATCCGAGGGGTAGGAGGCTGTGCCCTGTCCAATCGCACGGTCCTCCCACTCCTCGTCGGGATCGTCGTCGACGAGGCCCTTCGTGTCCGTAGTACTGCCTTGTTCCCTGTGGCCAGGCTCCGGGGGATCTCGCGGAATCCCAAACGGTGCCAAGGCACTCCGCCTCTTCTGCTTGTCTCTGTTGGGAGGGCTTGGTCCATAATGATCTCCAGTTGTCGTAGCAAAGGAACCAGGGTCTGCGCCCTGCACATGCCCCACGGTCCCTGAAGCTGGAGGTGCACCGAGACCCTCGGGAACATGGACAACGGGGCCAGTCGCAGGGGCCACGCTCAAACCGGGAGCACCTCCGTGAAAGGCCCCCATGCCCCCCGGGCACCTAGGAAGCCCAAAGCCCGGAGGTGCCCCACCAGCAAAGTGCCATCACTACACCAGCAAGGGGACTGGCCCCCGGGGCAGTGTGTCCGAAATGGGGCTGCGGCGTGCGAGGAGCAGCTGTGGGTGCCCGTACCGGCGTAACAACAGACTGTGCCATGGGCACCGCATCTGCCGTGGACTGCTCCTCCACGACCCAGCCAGCGAAGAGCTCGTCCGTGTCCATGTCGTCGTCGGCAGGAGGCCCGGGGGCGCCGGCACCTGCTCCTTCGCCAGTCCAGGCCCTCCGGAGGGCAGTGCGTGCCGCCTCCTGCGCGGCCTCGGCAGCAGCAAGCTCCTCCTGGAGGCGGGCTTGATCCTTCAGAAAGCGCTGCCGCTCCGTCTTGAAGGCCTCCTTCATCTGGGCATGGAAAGCATCCCACTGTTCGCCCGCTGCCTTGTGCGTGTCGCGTAGCTTGCAAACACGCAACTCGGCCTTCCTTGTATGGTTGAGAGCCGCCTGGAGGGTGGGCGTCGTGGAGCCGGCCGCCACCAGAGCGGTGCTCGTAGAGCTCTCCGCTGGGGCTGCAGCCTTCGCCTTTGCAATCGGCACCGAGGCATAAGTCGGAAAGGCGGCCTTGGCGGTATGGCCCTTGTGCCCCTCTCCACGCCACGGAGGTTGCCGAGGCGAGTATGCACCAGGCCATACTCGATATCCATTTCCATCGACCCATGGCTGCTGGTTCTTGCTGCCTCTGCCCATGAGGCGACGCAGCAAAGAACCGCTGGTCGCGTGGTGACTCCGCAAAAGGGAGCCTTGTGCCGGAGCGGGCTCACGGCCAAGTCGCAGACGCAAGCGACCACGGGAGCGCAGCTTGCGGCGCCGGCGATGCCACGATGGCGAAGGCCTACCTATCGTGGAAAATGAGCGAACCTGTCGGTTCTGGGGCTCCTAGGTGTTCCGGTCCTTCACCGGCGATCCTGAGCCCTCAGGTAACTATAGTTATATTTACTTATAACTCCAAGTAAGGTACTTATAACCCTACTTACTAAGTCCCATGATCCTCTAAGTAAGCATCCGGCATTTCTCCGCCGGATGCCTGGCACTTTGTCTGCCACTCAACGCCACAACCCCAAGCTCTAGACCTTCAGACAAGAGCAATCAAGCTAAGCCTTTAATCCTAACACTTTACGTAACGGCTCCCAACCCCAAATCCGCGTGTTTTTGAGCGGCAGCTTGCTGAACCCGACACCCATCCCTTTCGTTCAGGGGTCCGGGTCCTGTTAATAAGGATCCTAGATTTTAGGATCCATAAATTGTGCTAGCTGCGAGGGTGGGGTGGGGTGGGGTGTAGAGAGAAAGATGATGTGGCGCCATGACTTGTGATAAAAGGCCACATTATTCTGGCTAGTTGTGGTGGCTCTGTCATACACGAGTCAATATCATGTTATCAAAATAGGAGGAAGACCGATTCCAGCAGATGGCAACCAGCCCCCTGCCGAATACTCCCAGCGACAACCTAGCAGCTAGAGAATCACAATAACAGGACTATCACGAAATATAAAAACCACGACAGCAATGACAACAACGGCAGCAGCCACCCTAAAACCCTAAACCCCTAAACCCTGAACCCTCAACCCCAACCCTAAAGAAGAGTTTCACTCCTGCCCCCGGTAGGCCTCAAGCCCAAACCTCTTACAACACCCAGGTAACACCCCCGATGAAAGCCACAATCTGCGCAACGGAAACATGCTCTAGGGGCCTAATTAATTACCTATACGATTTTGGGGGGTTCCTGACTTTATTTGTAGTATAACAGGCCCCAAAACCCTCTTTCTACTATTCAGGCCCCTATATTAGAACCCTACTATAGATCCCCTACAGACCCCTTTTAAAGGAGCCCTTAAAGGAACCCTATTCTAACTATTAAGGCCCCGACCATCATAGAACCCTATTCACAGGAACCCTTGAGTACCCCTTAAAGGAATCCTATCATAGAACCCCATTATGGATCTCTTTACAGGAACCCTAAAAGGAATCCTATTGCACTTATTAAGGCGCCTATATTAGGATCAGCTGTCCTGTCAGTTGGCTACTGGCCCTCGTCATCCTCCTTTTGATGCTGACCTCCTACGGTTCGGGCCCCGGGTGCGTCTAGGTTCTGGCCTACAGATGTTTAGGAATTAGCGTTTAGCGTTCAGACTATAGGGTTTCGGGTCTAGGGTTTAGGGGTTTAGACTTTGTGGTTTATTAGGTTCTGGCTGAAAAAGATGTTTAGGGGTTTGGGGTTTGGTAGGTTCTGGCTTCAAGATGTTTAGGCTTAGAGTTGAGGTGATAGCATGTAGTAGACATCGGACTCATCATTGAGTGGCATCCGGGTGCTACTCTCCTGGGGTTTACCTCCCGTGAGGGTTTATAAAATCAGTAAGCTTTTGGAAGACAGTTTTAAGATTTAAGATGTGTCGAGATTTGAGAATGTTTGATTCGGTTTAATTTTATAAGATCAGTTCAGGGTCTCGGGTTAGTGGTGCCCAGGTTGTATGGCCGGTATCCCTAGTAGAACCTAGTTTAATAAAGCTATTTTGTTCCTCGTTCAGCGAGATCACAGTTCAGCGTCCAGAGTTGAGGTTTTCTCACTATGCGGGCCTCAATAACTTGATAATGGCCTATACTATTTTCTCTTCGAGTCTGGGCCCTTTAGGTTCAGTGGCGGGCAGTTGCAAGCATCGCAGTCTGGTAGTTTGTGAGAAAGACCAACCCCGATTATTTGCAACTACCACAAACATCTCAAGCACTACTGCCTAAACAGTTTGAACCCCGAAGACCCCAAATCCTGAACCTAAATTTGCAGATGCAGGCCTCTTCTACTTAAGGTGTGCTACTGTAGGCATGCGAGCTGCGGTCATCCTCGCCGTAATCGCTGTTTTCATTCACGTCCTCGAACCAGCGCCGCCGCCACCACCAGTCACCGTCGCCGGCCTAGGCCTAGTCGTCGTCACTCCTCCTGGTCTGCATCAGCAGTAGCTTTCGTCGTTTCCGCTTTGTTCAACATCGCCGTCCTTGCTTGCCAATGTCACCGCAGACCCCCAACATCATAGCAGGCATCTCATCGTCATCATCACCACCACCACCATCATCATCATCATCATCATCAACACCAGCATCACCAAGTTACAGCTTGTCAGGTTGATACTGCTCTTTGCAAAAGACATCGTTACATCGCTTGCCATGCATTAGAATGGAAACTGTGCCGAGTCAGCAAGTAAATTTCAGGTGTTATGAATGTGACGGTGGCCATCTTTGTCAACAGTGCAATGGATGTCCTGGGCTTACAGGGGCTTGAGGGCTCTGATGCAGGGGAGGGCAATTCAAGGTATAACTTGCACTCGGAGAGACTTCGGCTAGTAGACCCTAATCCCTAACTTAACCCTAAATCCCAAGGCATTTAGGGTCTTGTGACCTCACGGTTCAGGACATCATGGATACAGGGCGTCTCAATTGCCAATGGTCTGCGCTACTCAGCTACTCTGCTTTACTCTACTCTTCTTTGGTTTTGAATAGGAGCCGCAACCCAACATAGGGGCGTCAATAATTAGACTCCTGGTGCTAAAAGGACTCTGTGAGGTTGAGCATAAGGGTTCTACGATTGGGGGTCTCAGTTCGAATCACCCACTAGTGCTCCGTGGTGCAGGACCGTTCAGGGTCGACAATGTTGCCTGTCATGGGGTCCACCCGACTTGCAAACCGTAAACCCTAAGCCCTTAACCCTAAACTCTAGTCCCTAAACCCCAAACCCAATCATTTGATATGGTGTCGAGCTGTCAGACAGGACTTGGTACTCGAGGGGTGCACATCGTCACGTTTGCTTGTGTTTTGGGCTGACAGGGCTTCAGGTGTCTTGCTGGCTGTCGGGCTTACTTGACAGGGTTAATCCCTCAACCCTAAACCTAGATATGGCTCACGCTTTAGAACTCTTAACTCCGGCTTGCTCAAAGTCAGTAACTCCCGTTTCACTGGCTCCGTTTCCTTTGTCCACTTACGATTGCAGATGACCTATGAGTCGCAAGCACATGCCTGATCCAACTTCATCTCAGTTCACAAGAATCTTTGGACATTGATGCCTCTACACGCCTTGTTTCTTCAACAGCTCCGCCTTCAACCGCCCTAAACCCCTAAACCCTATTGTTGTGTTAGGTCATCACCCCGGAGCCCTAAATCCTAACCCCCTTTCTAAAACATCTATCCGAGGCTTCCTCAACCGAAGGTTTTTTGCGGCTCTAAACCACAAGCCACAGGTCCTAAGCCTTATGCCATAAACCCGAAACCCTAAACTCGAAATCTGAACAGCCTTAAACCCCTAAACCCTAAACCACTGAATAAATCCTAAGCCCTTAGCTGGCGAACACGGCGAGGCATCGTCAGTTCGGTCTCGAGACCTCGCCAAGAAGGCGAAGGACGCTGAACTTCTCGTAGACGGCTCTAGGATTTAGGCTTTAGGATTTAGGGCTGAGGGGGTTTAGGCTTTAAGGTTTAGGGGGTTTATCGTTTAAGGTTTCGGGGTTTAGGGTTTAGGGTTTTAGGGTTTGGGGTTCAGAGTCTCTTGAAGAGTTGAAGTGCTTTTTAAGATTACTATACTGCACAGTGGTTCTGCTAAGGTTTAGGCTGAGGGAGCGTTGCTTGGGATCTTGTTCTGATTACTAATTGGACAGTTGTTATTGTACCAGGTACCCAAACAGGGACCGACATGTTGACAACCACTCATTTAGCATGTTCGTACAATTTGTTCTGGCTTTTACCCGGCCTTAGAGTAAGTTGGACTTTTAGGTGCTATATCACAGCACATGCCGTTTGTTTACATTATGGTGCATTTCAGGCTCATAGTACATCTTAGCAAATTCTGACTCGGAGTCAGAATCGCGTTCAACCCTGCAGGAAGAGTACGAGGCCACCTGCAAAGCATTGTACGAGGCCGGGCTCGGACCCGATTGGAAGTTTCTAAGCTAGAGCCCGCCTAAGGGTCCATGTAGCCAAATTTTATTTGCTTTGGTCCCAAAGTATCTATATAAGGACTACTTTAAGGCCAAAGTATTATCTATTTGGGCACATGGACCCTCAGGGGAAGAATGAAGAATGAGTATTTTAATGCGGCTGACGCTAGCCCGGAAGGCACTCGAGCTGGCGGGTGGCTATTTCGATTTCAGTGAAGTGGGTTGATATTCCGACCTAAATCTGTCTGTCTGAGAAGCACAGGGTTGTGGGCCCCTAAGTATATTCCGACTATGACCCTGAGTTGGCTTAAGTGCTTCGGAATTAGGTTACCTGAAACTTCACAGAGAGCATTTACATCTCGAGCGGCAAGGATGTGGCCCCAAGATTAGCAGGTTCTGCGGGGTGCCAATGCATGAGTGTAGACATGGTGCTTGTGTTCGGGCTTGTGCCGTTTCATGCACTGACTCATGTTTGTAGACCTGGCGGATGCGCAAAATGTTTTCCTACTTGCATGGATGTTAGCAAATATGCTCTTCTGTTCGTGCCTCCGTCCGGCAACATGGAGGAATCCGGAGCACATGCAGGTGAGATCCGCCCGCCCATCCATCCATCGTTCCCACAGGTTTCAGACCGTTCAGTTCATGCACCAGGCGCATGTACATCAACAAAAATAACCCTAAGGCCCTAAAGCCTAAGCAGTGATGCACGCGCAGCACCGAGATTCGAATCGGCACCAGCCTGTCTCTGCAGGATGTTCCTTATGATTTAGATTAGAAGTATAGTATACTGTCCCCCAGGACCATTAGAATTATACTGTCGCCCCCCCAAACCCTTGTCTAATTATCAAGGCCCCTACACTTGGGTTTATCGGGGCTGCAGGTCTTCCAAGAAGCGGATAGCGACGGCAACGGCACGCTGTCGAAGGAGGAGTTCAAGAAGGCCAGCTTCGGATGAAATCCATAAGCAGATTCCTTTAAGGGTTCGTTTGAGGGATTCCTGTAAGGGATTCCTGTATCGGAGCCCCATCTTCTTTGATGGAGCCCTTTTGTGAGACCCTCGTAGGACCCCTACTATAGTCTCCTCAGGAATTATTTGTTTACATATTTGCTCATATGAAACCCAAGAAAATACTAAGAATAGTATGTTTATTATGGTTCTAAGGGGGGGTATAGCCTACGCTGGAGGATCTTTCGGGTTGGTTGGAGGACAAAGCCTTCATGGCAGCAACGTTTTGTTGTGGCCGCTTGTTTTCAGATTTACCTATAGTCTCCATTGTAGTTCCTTTCTTTGGTTAACCAGTTTTATGGTTAGGATCCTATCATAGAGTATTTGGTTAACCAAAAAAAGGAGCTACAATGGAGACTGTAGGCTCTACCTGGACCCCCAAGTCTCCTTTTATAGAGCCTTTGTGGGCTGTAAAAGTATTACTATTTAGGGTATAATAGAGCGTACTTGTGGAGGTAGGGTTGTTTGGGGTGTAGGGCTTTAGGGTGCAGAGTTTCGAGTTTATGCGTTCTTATGGTCTTGTGGCAACATAGACAGCGAGACCCCTGCGAACCTTCCAAACTATGTCCCGACACTATGGGGCCTTATGGAGAGGGCTGCTTGGACCCAAGACCTTGGGTGTCTCTGTCTTGGTTTCTCCTTTGCATAGGGAAACTGGGGTTGGGGCTGGTTTGAAGCTTCCCAAAAGCAACAGTGCTTGAGCGTGCGTTGCACGTGGAGTCATGCCGGGACGAAGTGTCGAACACGCAGTGGCCACTGTCCCAACATCGGGACCACCAGCCGCTTGAAACTCGGACCGGAAGCAAAGCTCCACATGCCTTTAACACTATATTCTCGAACAGTTTAGTATTTCAAGTTCTTCCTGGAAACCGCTACAGCATAAGCTCTACCACGAAGGAGTCGTTAATGCTATAGGTTGCTCTCACAAGCTTCAATCTTTGAAGCGCTTAGCTAAGCTCCCAAACTCTAGGCCCTAGAAGCCCTAAATCAGAAACCCTAAACTAGCCTATACCTTAAATCCCGCAACTAAACCCCCAAGCCACCCATCAAAGAAAAATGAGCTACACCTTAAACCCCCTAAACGCCCTCAACCACCAAAAGCCCCTAAACCCTAAACCCCTACACTCCTCAACCCCTTAACCCCCTAAAACCCCGAAACCCTTTCTAAACCCCAAAACCCTAAACCCTAAACCCACAAAACCCTAAACCCTAAACCCCTAAACCCTAACCCCTAAACTCCCCAAAACCCACAGGCCCTCGAGGAGAAGGATCTCCTGAGGCGACTCCATGGCGCAGGGATCGACGCGTCAGGGCCCCAAGAGAAGGGTTTAGTGTAGGCGTCTCCATGTTACCTATAGGGTTCTTTTAAAGGGGTCTATATACGGTTACTATGAGGGATGTATAAGGGCACCATAATGTAGGGGCCTCAATAATTTTAAGCGCTTCGCGTCGCCCGCCTCGGCCCGGCTGTGGTGCATTGTTTCGGAAAGCAGCAACCCGAAAGCCTACCAAGGCTCAGAGGCCTGAAACCCGAAAATCTAAACCCCAAACCTTAAAGCTTAAACCTTAAACCCGAAACCCTAAACCCTAAACCCGCAGCGTAATGGGAGAAATCGCGGCCCCTGATGCAAGCGTGAAGCTCGCATGCCATGGCATGGGAGGGTCAGCAAGCAGAGCAGGGGTTCACCAACCAAAAATTTGTCTGACATTATTGGAAGGGGGGAGGAACGGGGGGGGAAGGGGCGGAGGGGTGGGAGGGCGGAAGCGGGGCGTTGGGGGGGCAAGGGCTTGGGGGCGGGGCGTAAGCAAAACTGCTATAGTTTATTGGGAAACTTGACCTTGGGGCTCATCCAGAGGTTCACACAGAGGAGGGGGGGTCAAGCAGGCAGGTTTGGAGGGGATTAAGAGGTGGGCCGGGAGTAGAGGGAATCCGTATAGGAACCTCACCGTTTCGGCCAGGGTCGAGGCGAATTACCAATACTGTTTTGGGGGTTCCTCATTATATTTATCGTATAATGGGCACCAAAACCCTAGTCTAATTAGTAAGGCCCCTATATTATCGTTTAGGGTGAGTGTGCTGGGTTTAGGGTTTGGGGTTCAAACGATGAAAGGCAGAACTAGTGCAGAGAGTTTGGGATAAAATTGCAGTAACAATTAGGGTTTATGGTTGAGTAATTTAGGGTGTAGGGTTGAGCAATGCGTAGGGTTCAGCACTTCGGGGTTTAGTGTTTAGGGTCAAGGTGGTTTCAAAAAAAGAGGGATGTATACTGGCGGACAGATGGGGATCACAAGCATCGGGGTTTTTTTGTGTCCATCGGAGCGATGAAGGGCTGGTGGGGCTCTGGGTTTGGGGCGTGGGCTTCGGCTTTAATTGCGGCTCTCAGGCTTTTGGGGAAACCGGTTCAAAGGATAGGATGACAAAGTGCCGGGTTTCGGGCAGGGGATCACGGCTTCCAGGATTTTGGGTTGGCGGCGAAAGGTTGACAGTTCTAGGGTTCATGGTTTAGGACCGTCCTGGGATTTCTATAGGACCATAGGACTTTGCTGTCTTGGTTGTGGTTGCTTTTGTGTTAACGGATTGAGATGTATTGGTGCTCCACCAATGCAACAGTTTGGTTTGTGTGACAGGACATGGTTCTCGCTAACTGTATGCGCAGAGTGGCAAAGTTTTTGAATTAAAGCGCAACCCCCAAACCGCCCAAACCTTAGGTGGCAATTTGGAATACGTTTTACCTTCCTGTTGCAGCGCCTCGAACTATTTACCCCTAAAGCCCTACTCCCCTAAAGCCCTAAAGCCTAATGCCCGAGCCCTACGCCCCGACGCCAACAAGTCCTAAACCCAAATCCGATGCCCTACATCCCAAACTGCTACATGATACACCCTGAGCCGCTCACCAAGTTCCAAACCCCGACGCCCTAAACCCTAATCCTTAATCCCTAAACTCTAGGGCATAGGGTTGACGGTTTACGGGTTGGAACATAGAAACCCCAAACCCCTAAACCCAAACCCTAAACCTGAACCTGAACCCCTAAACCCTAAACCGCGACACTCTGAACCCCTAAACCCTAAACCTGAACCTGAACCCCTAAACCCTGAACCCTAAACCGCGACACTCTGAACCCCTAAACCCTGAACCCTCAACCCTAAACCCTAAACCGCGACACTCTGAACCCCTAAACCCTAAACCCTAAACCCTAAACCCTAAACCCTAAACCCTAAACCCTAAACCCCGACGCCCTTTAGGGAAGCCTTGAGACCCGAAAGCCTCGGTAAGACGAGCTTAAGGATCCTCGGAAACGCCTGGAAGAAACTCAGATTCTCTTACTTAGCCTATTGGAGAACTTTAAACTTTTTGGCTTCATATATTTGGTCTAGCTGAAAAAGTTTGAACTTTGTTTGGGCCTGGTTATTGGAGAAGAGAGTTCTTCTGAGGCCCTATGAAACCCAAGGAAACACTGGGAAACCCTATGAAACTCTGCAGAGTCTCGCAAAGCCTCACACATATTCCATCAGAACAGCAGAGCCTGTTAGAAAGAGTTTTCCCTCAGTTCTACAGTACCTGAACAAGAGCTCCTGAAAACAGTAAACACACTGAAGCCTACACCCTGAGCCCAAAAAGGACTAGCGCCTCGTCTTTGTTCGATATTCTGGACATCGATGCCAACGGGACTCTGGATGGCCGGGGTCTCGTCGCGGTGCAGGGCTGAAGCCTTGAGGGAGCGGATTTTCGTCTCGAAGGTTTAGGGGTTTAGGGTTTTTTTGGGGTTTAGGGGATGATGGCTTTAGGGATTCAGGATGTGGGGAGTTTCCGAAAATGAGGGGTACCTTAGTTTCGGGTCCTTATAAGAAGGATCCTACTATTTAGTGTACTATATTAGGGTCCCCTATTTTCGGAAACTCCCATATCCCTTCATTAAGGAATAAATAGACCTTATAATAGGGTACTAGATTACGGTCCCCTATTTTGGGGAACTACCCCCATTGAGGCTTTGAGGGTTTGGGGGTTCAGGCTGATGGGCGGGTCTTCGCCGCTCGCCTGCACTTCGATGTTGACAGCTCTGCTTAACCCAAGACCCTAAATTCCGAAACCCCCAAACCCCAAATTCCGAAACCCTAAAGCTTGAACTCCGAAACCCTCAACCTTGAACTCCGAAACCCTCAACCCTAAATTCCGAAGCCCTAAACTCTAAATTCCGATGGCTCTAGTTCGTAATGGCTCCCATTTGTATACCCTAAACCCTAAACCCTAAACCGCTCCCATTTGTATGTCGGGCCAGGCAATGAGTTCGTGGAGGGAGTCCTCCGGTCGCGCGGGAACGCACAGAACAAGGCTGGCTTTTGGGGGTTTAGGGTTTAGGGTTTAGGGTTTAGGTGTAGCTCTTCCGATTTCTAAGGACGGTTTAGGGTTTATGGTTAGTGTTTAGGGCTGAGGGTTTGGAGTTGTTAGGGGATTCCTGGGAGTTCTACAAGGGCTCGACAAGGGCGTGACAAGGGTTGATTGTGAGGTCCATATACATGGATTCTAATAGGGTTTAATCGCCGGTTTGCACAAGATCTTCAGACTTGCGTACTTCAAACTTCAGACTTGGCGTTTGGGGGGGCGGGGGGGTGGCAGAGCCTTTGGGAAAGAGCTGAACTAGTGGCTTGCGTGCAGGGCGATTCAGGTTTAGGTTTTAGGGTGCTGAGATTCTTGGAAGATGATCTGATGTGCAGCAAGTACAGGCCTTTCAGGTGGGAGTTAGGGCTTACAGAGAAGGTCGAATTCAGTGATGATAGTGGCCTAACTACCTACGAAGACTATTTTGTTAGGGCTCCTTGCCAACAAAGTCATACTGTAATATACCCCAAAACCATCTGAAAATTATGACGGATCAAGGCCAGGCTTCTGGGGTTTAGAGTTTCGGGGTTGAGAGGTTTGCGCTTTTGGTCGGGTTGATGCTCCTGCTTTCTTCCTTGGGCCTTGAGACAGAGAAGAAGTGTATTAAAGCTTTGGCCCGCCTTCAGACATCATCGTGACTTACTCAGGGGTTCATGGGTAGTTCTAAGTAGGGGTATAAGTCCCCATATGTGCGATATAAGTATAGTTACCCTACTTATAACCCTACTTATAACTGCCCATGAACCTCCAAGTATGCTGGGCTTAAAACAGCGTATCATAGGGACCCTTTTGGGTAGTAGGGGGAGGCGGGGGATAGGGAGCCTTAATGCCCATAATAAGTGCCGATTGAAGGAAGTCTACCCCTCTCCCCCTACCGCCCTAAGGGTCCCTATGAGCTTAAGCAGATGCCAACCGATGAGGATCTGGTGGGGCTCAGATGCGACGTTTGGCGGGCGAACCTCTCGGCAAACGCCTCGGAGAGTTAGTTTGGCAGCAGTTTGCCCTTAAGCTTCGGGTAGAGGGTTTAGGGAGTTGGGGTATAGGCTTCAGGGGTTTAGGTTTAGGGTTTACGGGCTAAGCTCCAGGTAGCTGTGCACCCTAAAGTCCCTAAAGACTCCAAACCCCTAAAACTCTCCGCTCTCGGCATGATTGTTCTATGCTGCCACAAAACCCTATTCTACGCATTTCGGCCCAAGTTAAAGTTCGAAGATCTAGGGTAATTTCCGGAGGACTCGAATCCCCGATCTTAAATCCATAACCCTGAACCATAGGCGGAGGGCACATTGTGGGATTTTGTCGACAGCAGTATTTTCATCGTCAAATGATTATAGGGGTTACGAGTTGAAGCAACGCAAAGCCCCAAATCCTGGGGCCCTGCACCTCAACCGGATCAAACACCCTAAGCCCCAAAGCAGAAACCCCAAATCCTAAGGTGCACGAGGAGATCCGACATGTCAGCATCTACTTTGAGGAGACGAACTGTGCGTTTGTGCACTGAGGCTTTCGGTTTCGGAGATGGGATATTTCGTCATGGAATTAGTAATGATCTTCCTGCACAGTCCCGATGTATGATGAAGCTTCAACATACCGCACAACGCTCTACCGGTTACTTTCGGGGCATTACCAATTACCTTTTCTATTTTGGGGGCTCCTTATTGAAACTATAGTATACTGGGCCCCAAAACCATATTCTAATTATGAAGGCCCCTATATTAGTTAGTCGGGCCCTTGTGCAGGTCAAGGGTCTCGGATTGGGGAAGAACCGGGGTTAAAAGCTTGCCGCGAACGGTGGGAATAACATCGTAAGCCCAGGCTGACGCATCGACCAGTGCATCCCGCCAACAACCCTAGACACAATACACCTTACACTCAATCCCTATACCTTGCAAGCCTTACCCTAGGGCTCCAGTTGCCTAAATAGTAGGCTACCGGGGTATATAATATATGGTTAGTATAGGGTTTCTTGAACCCTAGGGGTACATGAAGCCCCAAATAACAGCCCACCAGGAGCGTCTTCAAGCCACCGTGCTGAAGATGAAGGTCCTTTCGGAGGCCCGTTGCCCGGGCTTTCACTAGGATGCCCTGGGTTTAGGGTTTAGGGTTTAGGGGTTTAGGGTTTAGGGTTTAGGGGTTTAGGGTTTAGGGGTTTAGGGTTTAGGGGTTTAGGGTTTCAGTAGTACCCTTATTCCCTTTTTGTAGTCCTTGGTTCCTTATAAAGTTACCCAGTACTAAAAAGGGAGCCCTTTCTTTACTGATCGCCTTTGGTATTCTTGGCCAATTAATGCAGTTCCAGATCAAGTCATGGGTGGGGCCACTAAATTGGCTTTGGGGTTTGGGGCCCGTTCTTTTATTCCTACGGCTGCTGGACAAAATCCTGCATTACCCGTAATAAGGAATATACCATAATTCCCATAGTTTAGGGTCCTTAAGGTAATGCAGGATTTTGACCATCAACAGTAGGTTACTTGGCATCCTTGTTCAAGGCTTGAAGGCTTCCCTGCAGGGTTCCCCTTCAGCGCTCCTTTAAGGGCGACTTGAGCGGTGCTTTAAGGGTTCCCTAGGGACTATAGGGGTTCAGGGGCCAAGGGTCACCAATCCCTGATCAGGATCTAAGGTTCGCAAGCTTAATGAAGTTATCGCTCTATGGTTTCTAGGAATTGCTTCATTCTCATCGTGTTTGAGTGTTGGGGTTTTGCAGCTGGAAAGGGTCTAGGCTCGCGCTGTGAGGGCTTCGTAGCTTTGATCTTAGAGTTCTTGCAACAGGATTACTATGTAGGGTAACCTATCACCCAAAATTCTGAACCCGGAACCCTAAAATCTGCACGCCAGGTCCCTTTCAGGGATCCCCCGGTGGGTCTCATCAACTGCTTAGCGTTCGAGGCTGTAACAAAACATTACTATGATACCACCATCTAGGGTTCTGTAAGGTTGATTTAAACGTTTGTTTTGGGGTATTATAGGGATCCCTACAAGCGTTCTGCAAGGCTACGGGTTATGTATTGATATGTAAGAAGTATGCAGAGGCAGTATGCGGTTGCAGAGTTTAGAGACTTCTGGCTCTCGCATAGTAGGGGCCCTGGTTTAGGGTTTAGGGGTTTAGGGTTTAGGGCTGGAGAGGAAAGCATTATTTACACTGGACCTCCCCGAAACCTGCTTCGAGGGTTCTGGAACAAAGTTTTGGGGTTGAGGTTATAGGTGTTTAGGGCTTCAGTTTCCCCCCGGAGAACTTCCACAAACTTTGAGAATCCCCAAACTCCAAAAGCCACAAGTCTCCAGATCCCCAGCCCCTAAACCCTAGGGTTTAGGGAACCCTAAACCCTGAGCCCTAAACCCTAAAACAAAAAACTTAGGGTTTAGGGGAAAGGGAAACCTGCACACCCTACCCCCCCGAAACTCGAAACCGTAAAGCTTATTTTCGGAAACTCCCACATGGGAGGCAGCAGCTCCCATACTACGACGAGCCCAAGAGGTCAGCCCAGAATCGCAGGGTTACTGTTTACCTGGGTTGTCCTTGGGGATCGTTTTTAAGTTCCCCTACTAGTTTGTAGAGAACCATAATTGTACATAGTTTTCAAAGGGCTTAAAGGACAACTCAGAACCTACTGTTTAGGGTTTAGAGTTTCGCTTTTACCTTAACCCTAGAAACCTACATTTTCGGGGTTCCGTATTATGATTTCCGTACAGTAGTATAGGTCTCTAAAACGGGGGGGTTTGCGGGGGTTAGGGTAAGGTTTAAAGGCTTAGAGGCTTTGGGTTCATGGTTGCTTCGGACCTCCTTAAGGGGGATTTCGTAGAACAGTGCAGTTACGAGGTGGCTCTAAATATGTCGGCGGATTTTGCTACTTACTAGTACAGACTTCTGCATTAGCCACTTCAGTTTCTGCGCGGGCTTGCGCCTTCCATCGCTGGTGCAAGTTCAAGCTTCACCCAGGTCTGCCTGTCTGTCCATCGGTTTGTCTCTGCGTGCTTTTCTGACGTATGCAACGACACGAACAGGAACTGTAGCCGTGCTGTGATCAAGTTTTGTCTTGCATCTGCAGCACAGGCAAATGCGACTTCAGTCGTAAACACACCCACCCGCTTGCTCGGATGTTCGTGTCAATCTCTAAGGCGCCCAGGGTTAATATAGGGGGCTAAATAATTACCCATACTATTTTGGGGGTTCCTTATAGCTGTAGTGACCCCCTTTAAAACCCCTATATCAGACCTAAGCCCTAAAGTTGGTTCGTCGTCCCCGAAAAGGTAGCTTGTTCGGGGTTCAGGTATTCCTTGCGGGATTTTGGAAGAGATCATGCTCAACTTTCCCCCTAAACCCTAAACCCCAAAACCCCTACACCCTAAGCCCCAAAACCCCTAAACCCTAAACCCTAGGCCCTAAGCCCTTATAACTTATAACCCCTAAATCCCTAAACCCCAAAACCCCTAAACCCCAAAACCCCTAAACCCCTAAACCCCAAAACCCCTAAACCCGTAATCCCTAAACCCCTAAACCCTTAAGGATCCCTTTAAAGGAACCCCTATGGATCCCCTAAACCCTTAAGGGATTCCGGAAGATCTTGCTCCTGCCCTCCGCGCCCTCCTTCCAGGAGCTCCTGCAGGGGGGCGCCCGGGCCTGGTCCTCAAAAGTAGGGGGGGTTTTGGGGGTTTAGGGTTTAGGGTTTAGGGGTTTAGGGGGTTTAGGGTTTAGGGGTTTAGGGGGTTTAGGGTTTAGGGTTTAGGGGTTTAGAGTTTTGGGGGTTTAGGGTTTAGGGGTTTGGGGGTTTAGGGTTTAGGGTTTAGGGGTTTTGGGGGTTTTGGGGGTTTAGGGTTTAGGGTTTAGGGTTTAGGGGTTTAGGGTTTAGGGGTTTAGGGGTTTGGGGGTTTTGGGGGTTTAGGGGTTTAGGGGGTTTAGGGTTTTAAGGCTTAGGGTTTTGGGGTTTAGGGTTTAGGGTTTTGGGGTTTAGGGTTTAGGGTTTAAGGTGTTCCATGGGTGTTTCCGAGAATAAAGGACCCTAATAATATGGCACCCTAAATAGTAGGATCCTCATTATAAGGATACCAAAATAAGGTACCCCTAATAATCGGAAACTCCCAGGGGGTTTTGGGGTTCGGGGTTTAGGGGTTCATCTTAGAAGCCAGAAAGTTGGAACATGGCTTTGGGAGAGTGCTAGGATCCCTTATGCTTTACCTCGCATGAGGATGATGATGTTCTAACTTTCTGGCTTCTACAAAAGGGGCCTCAATACTTAGAATAGGGTTTGGTGGTATATTACACTGTAGTTATAATCAGGAACCCCCAAAAACCCTATTCTAATAATCAAGGCCCAGACATGAAGGCATGCTCAAACTCAAAGAGGCGGTCCCAAGGGCTGGAGAAGTTCAAACGGGCGCAGGGATCGTGTAAGGGTTTAGGGTCTAGGGAAGAGGTCTTCTGGGGTTTGTTAGTACTGAGAGGTTCATGATCGAGATCGGATCTTGCTATGTTCATGGTTTATGGTTTTCTTCTTTGGTTGTGCAGTTCAGGGCTTTGAGGTTTGCGGGTGTCGGTTGGGAATAACTTACAAACCGCAAAACCCCAAACTGCAACAGCAACTGAGGGAGACTCGCCATCATCTTCCTGTGGCTTCAAGAATGCACCGGTCTTTTCATCCGCAGAGCAAGCCACGGGCGATGAAACCTGGCTGGTTTACGGTTGGCTTCGTCCCCAGACCCGAAATCCTAACACGAAAAAAAGATGTAGGTGTAGGGTTCCGCGATTTAGGTCAGGGTTTAGAGCATTCCGAGCAGCAGTTTCGTGGGGTTTCTTTTGTGCATGAAGATGACCCCGGCAGTGTAGAATGAAGTGTATCTGCCGTGCTAGCCACATGCCACAAGCTCAAGAATGCGACACCGGCAAGACTCTAAACTCCCAGACCTCATTGATTCAGGCCTTTGCGCACTCAATCGGTTTGGGATTGGGGCAGGGTATAGACTAATTAGTTTGCGTTCCAGGGTTTCGGGTACCCTAAGCCTGAACCTTTGCTGCGATATTGAATGCATAGAGCCTCAGCTCTGCAGCTAAGGATGAGAGCCAAGACCCAACGCACTCTGCCGTGTTGCCTTTTCAAGGGGCACGCTCCGAAAAGTCCGAGAGCGAGAGGGCCCAGACTCAGACTTTGAATGAAAATATAATTCCGTAGCTGTACTATACGCCGAGATCACGCGAGCACAGGGGACCAGAGCATGTCGTTGTTGAGCTATATTTGCAAACTAACTAGCATCTAGTCTTGCTGTTCACTTTGTCCTCATGGTGCTCAGTTTACAACTTGGATTATTTCCAAGGGGTGCTTCGCTTGCTCAAGCGGCAGATGCGAACTTAGTTCAGTATTGAATGTAGCGAAGGATTATTCTTCTTGCTCCATTGCTTCTGCTAAGCAGAAGCTGTTTCTCGAGTACGGTGGAATCAAACATCCCTGTGTCTATACATGCCTGCAGGATGTATTAGCCCGAAACCAATCTAAACCCTGTACCTTAAATCGCTTCGAGTGACTCAGCGATGTAGGAGGGTCGAGGGACTTCGATCAGAACCCTGCGATTCCTACGGAGCTGTACTCGCCTGAGCCAACACAGCGAATTGCAGATCCCGAGAGATGGGAAGTGCGCGTAATCGCTGGTTTGGGCGATGTTGCAACCGACTATGTAGCCCTCTGAGCGCCAAAGGCAATTGGATGAGGTGTGTGGGTGAGTTTGTGCAGAAAACAGAACGGATGTCTAGGAGCATCGGAGGTGTTGTCCAATCGCATTTATCCCTCCGCCACGGCCACCACGACATGCAAAGGCTGCAAAGGTGTAAGAAGATATGTAGTTGATCCGCCGTGAAGCTCCATTACTACCCATCCGGAGGCGCTTGGCAACCTGTATGAGTACTTCCTGAAGCGCAACGGACGGAGGCTGGGACAAACTGAATAGTTCCAGGGCAGAGGTTCAAGAGGGTTGCAGACGATGGTGACGACGACGGCGACGACTAGGACCAGGACTTACCCTTGGTTAGTAGGAAATGGAAGAATGGTAGCAATAGTAGTAGTATAGTAGTTATAATGCTACCCCATTCCTCCATTCCCTACCAACCAAAGGTAAGGGGAGGAAGAGGCGGACGACGACTTCGAGGAAGAGGCGGACGACTGCGAGGACGAGGGCGAGGACGAACCCGAAGACGAACACGAAGACGAAGAAGACGAAGACGACCAATCACACGACTGCGTCGACGACGACAACTGTACGAGATAGCAGTCGTCGTAGTACTTAGTAACTTAGTAGTGCCTGTACTAGTGGTAGTCGTGGCGGCGGCGCTGGTGGTGGACATCGTCGTCCTCATCGTCTTCATCGTAGTCGTAGTCGCAGTAACGTCGTAGTACAGTAGTCGTAAGTCGTAGTAGTAGAAGTAGAAGTAGAAGTAGAAGTAGAAGTCGAAGTGGAAGTGGAAGTAGAAGTAGTAGTAGTAGTAGTAGTAGTAGTAGTAGTAGTAGTAGTAGTAGCAGTAGCAGTAGTAGAAGTAGTAGTAGTAGTAGTAGTAGTAGTAGTAGTAGTAGTAGCAGTAGCAGTAGCAGTAGCAGTAGCAGTAGCAGTAGCAGATGTCTGCAGGTTGACAGTGCTTGGCGCGACCAGTGGCGACACAGGGGGGGCCGCCATCTACGGGATGCGAGGGAAGGCCATTCAAGTCTGGTTGCTTCGGTTCTCTTGGGTCTTTGCAACAGGGGTGCTTCGTTTGGGTCTCCTAAGCTCTACACCGGACAGGGCTTCCTCGAGTTTAGGGTTCATGGCTCGGGTTTGGGTCCAGAGTTTAGATTTGTGGCGGTTTCTGAGTAACCCGAGGGCGTCCGAAGCCCGAATCCCAAAGCATCGGAATCAGCTCTCCATAAGCACTCTTGTGCTAGGTTTGATTGAAAAATCCCCTGCCCCACTCTTTGCAAAGGACTCCTCTTTGATCTCATCAGCTCGCTTTGTTGCGGAGTTTAAGATTCCATGATGTCCCATGTTTAGTCACGCGCTTTTCCATCTTCCTCTTGGCATCTGCCGTTGTAGTTGGAACTGAGCTCCCCTGAACCCTTTATCGTCCACAACCACCGCACGGCGAACCGGTTGCGTACGATCTGCTTCGGTTTCAGGTATGGAAAGCCTAAATATGAACCTGAAGCCTTCAAACCTTAGAGAGCCAGACAAGCTCTTATAGAACCCAGAGCCCTAGCATTTGTCAGCGCAGGAGAACGTGGACTGTTTCATTCTGTTCCCAGAAGGACGTGTTCGACACTCAGGGAGCAACTCGCAGTATGCCCTTCTAGTTCTTATATGGGTGGTTGTCAAAATTAGGGTCCCCTTTGTGGGTACCCTGGATAATAGGTGCCGTGTTGCCGTGTTATAGTAGGGACCCCAAGAGGGAAATTTCGACAATCACCCATATGTTTTTATTTGAAAATATACAGCAAGCCCTATTCCAGCCATTAAGGCCCCCTGTAGCATAAGTGTCCTATGAGAGTTCAGAAAGCTTTCTATCGGAGCCTGAAGGATCGGCTGTCTACCTGGATGCCTTACAAGTAGAGGCCTTGATTCATAAGGTTTGGGCGTCCTACAAATGAAGATCCTACTAGTTAGGTCGCTTTCAAGGAGGAGGACTTCAGATCAAATGTCTTACTGACGACCATGAAGACTGGATCAGCGTATCTTGGGGTGTCCGGTTGTAAGGTTTAGGAGCAGCGGTTGGAATTTTAGCCTGCGATGTAGATTAGAGTTACGGCATATAGGGCGCTGTGTCAGGTTTTATAGGACCAGTTCAAGATACCCTGCCTGGGGTACAGTATCGGATTTCGGGCTCAGACACGAGGGAGTGCTCAGGGCTGTAGGATTTGCCGACATAAGACAGAAATCCCAGTTACCAACGTGGTACGTTAGTGTCCCTGTCTGGTCATAGTATAGTCGCGCACTGTAGTATATGTAGGGTTTCTTATTGTTTTGGGAGACCGGAGGGAGCTGTTTATACGGGGAAGGAAGTTCTAGGCGTCGTCACAACCCCAGCGTTTGAAAGATTTTCCGGCTGCGGACAAGGATCCATACCCCTCAACCCCAAACCCTGTTTGTCAGGTATGCAAGGTGTGTTTTTTTACAACGATTTTCTCAATAAATACGCTGTAAGGTACCTTTGCTCATTGAAACCCGCATGAGTTTACAGGAGAGGCTATTTCCTTCCGGAAGCCACAGTGCTAAACTTTAAACCGTCAGCCAACATTATGCAAATACCAAGATCCTCGGCCTAAACTAAGCAGACCGTATTTCAAAAGACTTAATCTGGGAACCTGATGAAGGTCAGGTTCCTACATGGGAGTTTCCGAAAATTGGGGGTACCTTATTTTGGGGCCCTTATAATAAGGAGCCTAAGTTTAGGGTACTATACAAGGGTCCCCTATTTTCGGAAACTGCCACATTAGAGCCATTAAACCCTAGACCCCAAACCACCTAAGCCCTAAGTTGGAAACCCTAAACCCCCTAAACCCTAAATCCTAAACCACAATTTCAAAAGACCTAGAGCCATTTAGCCCTGGAGCCCCTAAACCCTAAACCCTAAGCCCCCTAGACCCTAAATCCTAAACCCTCAATTTCAAAAGGCCTAGAGCCATTAAACCCTGGAGCCCTACAGGCATCAGGAAGCCTTCGTTCATGACAGCCCTAGGCCCATAAACTCTAAGAGCCTAGAGCTCGAAGCACTAAACCCCAAGAGACGGGCTGAGGAATGCGCCGGACGCTGCAGACACCAAGAAAGCCATGAAAACGAACCCTAAGGCTCAAAATGGCCCAAAAGCCTTAGATAATGTGGTCTTTAGGCCCGAAAGCCTCAAAATATGAGTCCTTAGAGCCTTAGGGAAAACCTAAACTTGTGGCGACTGGCAGGTCCCGTCGATCAGCTGAGGAGTTGCGTAACCTGTGCCCGACACACATCCGCCAGCATTCTGAGACATATGGGAGTTTGCGAAAATTGGGGTACCTTGTTTTGGGGTCCTTACAATAAGGATCCTACTATTTAGGGTACTATATGAGGGTCCCCTATTTTCGGAAACTCCCATATGCTGCCTTCTGGAAAGGTGATGCGCCTGATGCGCAACAGACCGACTTTTGGGAGTTCGGCTTCTCTGAATACTTGGTCCGGCTCGGCAAGGCTGGCGCTTGGGCCGGCGGCATCGAGCTTGCAGCGATGGCCTCAACCCTGAATCGCTAGATCTTTGTTGTGCGCCCGGCCGAGGATGGCGAGTTCGATGTGCGTATGTTCGGGCCGTCCAAAAGCCAAGGAATTTGGGGTACTATATTAGGGTTAGATTACCCTGATAGGGTTAGGGTTTATGTAGGGTTTTTGTTAAAAGGTGCTGTGGTTCCAACATCAGCAGTATCAGGCCATGGTCGGTGATGAGACGCATACGGCAGCCGCCGCTCATGGAGCTACTAAGGCTGAGATGGGGGATCCAGTTGAGCGAGGCGGCGCTCCTTCTTCTCTTGGGGGCCGTACTGCCAGTGCTGCCTCCCCGAAACCCCTAACTTAGGGGTACTTTGAAATAGTTTTTAGTTTTTGGTGATTATAATCCCTAAGAAACAGCTAAAATTGTAATTTTTCTGGGGTTCTAAGTTCAGTATACTAAATCCTAAACTACTGAACCCGAAACCCATGAAACCCTAAACGCCCGAAACCCTGAACCCTTGTAGTGCAAGCTCAATCATGAGCAAGCTTCGAAGACTGCGCTGCGGACAGAGAGGCTACTGCAATATTTGGGAGTTTCCGAAGATAGGGGACCCTAATATAGTACCCCCAACTAGTAGGATCCTTATTGCTAGGACTCCAAAAAACGTACTCCTATAGTCGGAAAGTCCCATCTAACAAAAACCCTATATAAACCCTAATCTAACCCTCATATAGTAACCCCCAAATAGTGGGATCCTTATTATTAGGACTCCAAAAACCCTAAACCCTTACCTATAGTCTCCATTGTAGTTCCTTTTTTTGGTTAACCAAAATCTCTATTATAGGGTCCTAACCATAAAACTGGTTAACCAAAAAAAGGAACTACAATGGAGACTACAGGTAAGCTCAAACACTAATCTAACCCTCATATAGTACCCCCCCAAATTGTAGGATCCTTATTATTAGGACTCCCAAAACCCTAGACCCTCAAGTTTAAACACTACCAGAGATGAGGTCTCCCACATCCAGCAGCAGCAGATGACCAGCGTGATGGACTGTATCGGGGTTATAGTTTAGGGTCGTGGTTTAGGCTGTACGGTTCTAGTTTAAGGTTATAGTTTTGGGTTATGTAAATATAGGGTTGTAGTTTTGTGTTATCGTCTAGGGTTATAACTTAGGGTTATAATTTGGAGTTTAGGGTTGCAGTTTAGGGTTTTAGTCTTAGGGTTTAGGGTTTTTGGTTGGGTTTGGGGTGCAGGGCTCAGGGTTTCGAGTTTTGGGAGTCTTTCTCTTGGGTTGTTGCGGGCTTCAGGGGCACCCTTGAGGATTCTGTGAGGGTTCTGCAAACAGGGTCCCTTTAAGGGTACTATAGGGTTTTAGAACGGGCCCCTTTAAGGGGACTATGAGGTTTTATTATAAGGGGATTGGGTTTAGGGATTTTGGAGTTTAGGGTTTGTATGGTCATTATATGTGGTGTATGAGGATTTAGTCTGATCTAGTTTTTCTTAGGGGGGACGGGGGGATCCATGGCTTCATATTTTCTCGCCATCAGGCTGCGACACTCGATGAGCACTTCGGCTTAGGGTTGAGGGTTTAGGGTAGAGGGCGGTGTTGAGGGTCAGATCCTAAACCCTTACTCTGGTTAAGAGGGTCTGTTTCAGAGTCGACAAGCAGGCTGCATGCATCCCGTTTCGAGTCCTGCCAGCAAGAGCACCTGTCCCATCAACGATAGTTTGAGAAAGCGCGTACGAGCAGTAACTCTACTGGCGGTGGTAAGTCTAGGGTTTAGGGGCTTAGGTTTTGGGTAGTAGCAGCAAACACAGCGAAAGAAGTATGACTTGAGGACGACAACGTTCACTGTGTGGCCATCAAGGGCACCTTTGACGACTGCCAGGACATCGTCAAGGAGATTGTGGCTAATCTGCTTCAAGCTGCTTTCAGCATACTGCATTTTCCGTGATCGTGGGCTGTGCTGCTTAGGCTTCAGGGACAGTGAAATGTGCTTGGGTGGGGTGCGGATATTGGCGCTCAAGCTTCCAGAAGCTTGCGGTGAACATGGCTACCATGCAGCATCCGTCCAAATTCGCAAAACCTAAGCTTCTGAATGCTTCAGGTTCTTGTGCCCCCTCAGTTGCATAATGCTCCTTCCAGGTTCTGTTTTCAAACACATACTAAGGAGTCGGAGCCCAGTGTGGCATATACGCAAACTACCGAAACCTGCCCCTCTAATTACAGGGAATGTGACCTTCGAAGGCTTATGTTAAGGTGTTTTTCATGCCCCTTCAATCCTGAGCCCTGGACGCATTATACTTATCTGTGTGTTTGAGACCCGCAGCTGACATCATCTCAAGAAAAGGGTAAGCCATGGAAGAGGACGACGAGCCCCGGCTGCAACATGCAGGGGGTTCTGAATCACACTTTTAGGGGTCTGCGGAGCAGCTTCCTTTGCCTTGCAAGTGCAAGGGTGCTGGCACCCACAGGCAATCAATCAATCATTTAGGGGTCTACACTACTAGTACAAGTATCCCTGTATATCTACATACAGCTTACACCAAAACAGTAGTGTTTTTTCGATCAAAGGTCTTAAGGTTGAACCCTCCGACATCCTGGACAAGTAGTCCTAAACCTTTTGCGGTTGGCAAATCTGGGAGCTTGACTTTTTGGTTGCTTCGGGCTTTATGGCCACTTGGTGCATCAAATACTTTTACAGCAAGAATTGCTCGAAGAGGGTTTTGGGGATACCAGGGTTTATCCCCTATACCCTTCTTATAAGCGCCAAGCCACAAAGCCCGAGGGTCCAAGTACCCAAATAGTAAGGATTCAAGGTCCAAAAACCATTCAGAGTATGGATTTTGGGACCTGAAACCCTACTATTTGGGTACTTGGACCCTCTGGGAAACCCTAAACCCTAAACCCGCTTACTCAGGGCTAATGAGGCCCACGCAGGAAGTCTGCCCCTTGATCCGGGATTCAAGCGCCACAGACATTAGTTTCGGGTTCAGGGTCTAGGGCTTCTTGGGAGAGGTCTTGTGGAAGAGAGAGAGAGAGAGAGAGACTGCAGCGAAACACCAACAGCTATGATCTATTTATATATATATAAAAATATATATGTATATATATATATATATGATAGTTGTATCATTCTTATATAGATGGGTATAGCCAGATATAGATCGACAGATATCGGCAGACCTGGACGGGCACATAGACTGACAGACAGATAGATAAATGCGTAAATCTATGCACACCAACACGTCGAGCAACACAAGCCGGACAAGGATCTGAAGAGGCCGACTAAAACCGAAGCCCCAACCGCAACAGCCCACACACCAGCCCTAAACCCTACACCCTAAGCTCTGGGAGTCTTCAGACTTTAGCATCTTTGTAGATACGTGCGACAGATCCCGTGGTGAATTTAGTCGCTTTAAGCCGTTCAGGTGTGAGGGTATACGGAGACTGTGTCTCTGCTTCTCCAAGTTTAGTCCGCATCCCCTGAAGGGCGTAAGGTTTCGAGTTGTGAGGGGCTGAAGACAAAGCCATGACTCCCGAGGACCCTTTATGGCGAACAGAGGCTGCGGTCAAGCCAAAGTCCCTGAACGAGGACCCCTTTAATGCATCTCGGCAGCTCGGAGTCACCCGTGCCTTTGAATCCTGTCGCTGCCGTCAAAAAATCCGTGAAACTTTCCAGGTTTTCGCAGAGGAGCAGGCCGTGGAGGCCTGCAAGGTGGGTTTCGAGGTAGCTACCGAACTCCTGGAGACTGCCCCTTGGCTTAAACAGGCCTTCGTTTGTTTTTTGTGTTGGGTCCAGCGCTTGCTGGCTTCATGGTTTGAAAGTGGGGAGCTTGTGGATTGTGGTGCTTCTTGGGTTTAGGAATTAGGATTGCTGCATTGTTGCTAAGCCTTTGAGAAGTTCTTCGTGGCCGTGGTCGCCATTATTGTCGAAATAGTGCATCATTAGCAGCAATGCCAGCCTGACCGTCCTTACCACGATGGCATCGCTGTAATGGTATTATTCTTGCTGGTATTGTTCCTATTATTGTTGCTACTGTTATTCTTAGTAGTAATATTAGTTTTCGTATTATTGCCAGCAGTATTTACGGCTCTTCGTATCATCATCTGTTCCACCACTAGCAGCATCATCACCATCATCAGAGGTACTGCCATCTGTACGATTGCCATTGGTATTGTGAGGTTAGTGTTGCTGCGAGAGGTTGTTTGGTAGTTGTGATATGGGCCTGACTGCTAAACTGCTACACATCCCTACAAAGCTATTGAAACCCTCAGCCCTACAACAGCTTATAGAGCCTTTGCTCTACCTAAGGGTCCTGTGTTGATAACTCTGAACTCGAGAACCCAAACGTTCTCAGCGTTGAGCTGTAAAGCCCTAGAACTTGAAACCATAAGCTTCAAACACAAATCCTACACCCTACGCTAGATAGCTGTTCGAGCTTCCGAGTATGCAGCCGTGCGGAATGCTGATAAAACAACAGCTGAACCTTCAAGGGTTCCTTTAAAAGGGGTCCCTTAAGGGTTCCTTTAAAAGCGGTCCCTTAAAGGCTTACAAACTCCAATAAGCCCCGAGCTGACATCCGATCCGAAGCTCCCTTAGCTCCGAACTCTAGGCCCCAAAACTCATAACTCTACCCTAAGGCCCCAAAGTAGTTCCTTTTTGGGGCTCGTATATAGAATTCCATAAGGTAATCCCAAAAAGGAACTACTTTGGGGCCTATGGGTAAGCCCGAGCTGAAACCCTAAACCGTATAACTGCAACCCTATAACTCTATACCCTTGGACCTATAAACCCTCAACCTTAAAACCCTAAGCCCTAAACCCTAAAGTGCACTTGCCAGACTGAGGACTTGGTCTTCACCTCGTGTGGAAGCCTTGTGAAAGGCACACCCGATGGTGGCTTCGTGGACACCGACGGTCTCTTGAGGCCCTGCGTACGGTTCTATAAGGGATTCTCCAAACGTTGTTCTGTTGTGAGCTGCGGCCCATCAGGGTTTGGGAGCTTGGAGCGCGGGAGTTGCCATGCAGAGCTACATATGAGTCACGGTCAAAACCCCGGTAGTCTAGGCTGTATGTTGGGATGACCCACGGTTTCCGACAGTCTTTGTTTTTGTCGGCGGCCGCAACTACATGCATAGGCTGAACGAAGTCAGAGAAAGCGTTTGTGTGGGCCTGGCCGATTACCGATACCCCGCCCGATACCCCCCTTACGACGACTGCTACTGCTACTGCTACGCTGCTACTGCTGCAATTGCTACTACTGCTGCTACTACTGCTGCTACTAGTACTGTACGACGTGCACTACTTCTACTTCTACTTCTACTTCTACTTCTACTTCTACTTCTACTTCTACTACTACTACGACTACTACTACTACGACTACTACTACTACTTCTACTACTACTACTACTACTACTACTACTACTACTACTACTACTACTACTACTCCTGCTGCTGCTGCTACTACTACTACTGCTACTACCCAAAATGGGGTTGTATACAGGGGTGTAGTTGTGTGGCCTACCGATACCCTACCGATACCCCAACAGATACCCCGCCTGTACGAATTGAAGCCCGGAGCCCTTTAACTCCTCAATCCGTACTCCATAGATTGGCAATGTCGCTGCAGTGACGAAACACGGTGGAGCCCACTTGATGGCCATCATGTATGATGCAGGGCCGCCACACCCCACCTTCCCCCCCACCCCATGCTATGGTATCCCTCCCCTTGCCTGTCAAGTGGGCAGTCTTCTTGTTTTGCCTTGCCCTCTCCCCCCTGTGGAGTGGCGCCTGTAGTCTTTTTGGTTGGCCCCGCCCCGCCTGTGGGAGGAGTGTGTTCTATAGAAGTATGGTATGGTTGCTGCCGCTTGTTAGTAATACTGTCATCGTTGCTTGCCTTGTGCCCTCCCCCCTGTGGGGTGGGGCCTGTGGTCTTGTTGGTTGTACACATATATATATACATATATATATATATATATATATATATATATTTCTGGAGAGGCCTGCAGTGCGACGCTTTCTGTTTATATATATATATATATATATGTATATGTGTGTTAGTCGGCGGCCGCAAGTACACGCTTCGATTGAGCTATAGGATAATGGCGCCAGAACGGGGTTTTGACGACGACTCATATAGGGTTTAGTGACTATAGTGCTGTTTAGTGGCTTCGTTCTCAGTCCAGGGTTTGAGGGCGGCGCTTCGTGTAACCGCCAGACTGTCCTGAGCCGAGAGAAGCCGCACATCCCACGCCTTGAGAGTGGCAGCTCTGATGACGGTGACGGTGACGATGTTCAGCATCATCGTCAAAAGCTTTGGCATGCACTCCATTCCATTGATGATAGGCCCCTTTACTAGGCTCTAGCATATCACTCCCCGGAGGTTAGTTCAGGTGGTGCGAGTGCCCCTCTTACCGGACATGGACGAAGATGAGGCGGGCGAGGGGACCCAAAAAGAACTGATCCTAGGGTTTACGGACAACCTACAAAAATACTTAAATCATCATCAACCCTCAACCCTCAACCCTGAGCCTTAAGCTCTAAAATTCACCGAGCCTTGTACGTGAGTCCTGAACGTCTCGAAGCTTATGCGGTCGTTAGTCAGAAGGGCACTTATGCAAGTAGGCCCAGACCTAAGAGAGGGGGTGGAGCTTCAGGCGGTAGGGTCTACTTAGGGACCCCAGAAGCACATAAGCATGAGCATTTTATAGGGAATATCCCTACCTCATTGGGCTTCATGACAGGAGGGTTTCTATGGGATATCCCTATCCTTCTTTTTGCTTATGTGCTTTTGGGCGGCCCCATCTATAGGAACCCTTTCAGGAGGCTCAATACTTCCGGCTTGCTTAGAGCTTCTGCTTTTGGGGGTTCGCGGGATGTAGGGTTAATGGTTTGTGGAACAAAAGGACGAGTATATAAACATCCATGTAGCGCCTATATACTTGTGAATGTATTGAGTCCCCAAGAGCCCTCAACAGACCCTGTGACAACCCTATCTGCAACAAGAAGGCCCCAAAACTAGAATGCCCCCCCTAAATTTAAACCCTGAACCCTAAACCCTAAAACCCCAAACCCTAAACCTTAAAGCCCTAAACCAAAAACCCTAAACCCTACAAAGCCCTAAACCCCAAACCCTACAAAGCCCTAAACCCTGAAGCCCTAAACCCCAAAACTAGAAGGCTTCAGGCTTTCCCAGAGCCTCCAAAACCCCTTGATTAGGGAATATACCTTAAATTATACTAGGATCCCTTATATGATTTAAGGTATATTCCCTAGTTAAGGGGTTTTGAAGGCTTCGGACTTACAGGGATCTTTGCAGGAAAGGCTTGGGAGTCTTTACCCAGAGGCCCCATAGTAGTTCCTTTTTGGGATTCCCTTATAGGATTCTATAAACGAGCCCCAAAAAGGAGCTACTTTGGGGCCTTCGGGTAGACTCTCCATCTACCCTCTATTAGACCCTAAATGCCCCTTGTTTGGGACCATATACCCCTATTTGAGGGTACAAGGTGGGTCCTGGTATAGGGACCTTGATAATTAGAATAGGGTTCTTTTCTATAACAGGAAGGAATCAGTCCTTGGAGCGGTCTGGACGGGGCCTCAGGGAGCCTTGCGGGTTGACGGTTATCGAGGGTTTAGGGCTTGGGATTTTGGAGTTTAGGGTTTAGGGGTTTAGGGTTTAGGGTTTAGGGATTTTGGAGTTTAGGGTTTAGGGGTTTAGGGTTTAGGGCTTGGGATTTTGGAGTTTAGGGTTTAGGGGTTTAGGGTTTAGGGATTTTGGAGTTTAGGGTTTAGGGGTTTAGGGTTTAGGGCTTGGGATTTTGGAGTTTAGGGTTTAGGGGTTTAGGGTTTAGGGCTTGGGATTTTGGTGTTTTTTGGGTTTGGGGCCTCGGTTTGGGAGTTTCGCAGGGGATGAGTGGCTTTGGTGGTAGTAAGTACATCGCAGGGTGGAGGCTTTCAGGTCGGGCCTACACACAACCCTGACGTGTAGATGCTAGTCTTAGACCAGAGACTCTGAAACGTGTGTAAAGCTATATCCCTAAGGGTTGTACTCATATAGTATATACATTGGCCTTAATGTAGTCCCTATTTGGCTACTTTGGGGCCCATGTATCTCTATATGGGTACATGGACCCTTAGGGTATGAGATCCGTCGAGTCCATGCAGCTCGTCAGGTTGCGGATGTGCTTTTCGACACTGTGCTGCTCGGATCCGTATTAAAAGGAAAGGAAGGAAAAAGTTATTGACGGCTCGGGATCAAGTCCACTTAAGAGAGGATTGTAGGGGTCTCTGCCTCAAGTAGATGTCCTTGTTTGGGCATTGCTGCAGCAGCCGAGGCTTGCAAAGGTGGTGAAGTCGCAGACATGGATGAAGGAGCGCACTGATGCCGAAACTCATGTCACATGAGCCTGGTCGGTAGGACGATTCTCGCACTTCTGCTTGCAACTGGCATGTACCGTTCCTGATATCCAGTTTGACTTGTGACTTTCGCTGAACAGGTGTGAAGATGTAGTGTGAAGATGCAATATAGCTAGGGGCTTCTTATTTTGGAATGGACGGTTGGGGTATAATCATACACGCGAACGTTCACCCCTGAGCCAATCAGAGCAAGTACGCAGGTCGACGTAGCTCATGTAAGGGAAGGTAGGCACGCAGGCAGGCAAGCATGCAGGCAGGTAGGTATCTATGTATGTATTATGTATAGGGCTCAGGATCGCTGGCAGAGGGCCAGAAAACCTAGGAGCCCCAGAACCCACTGAGGTTCGACTTTTAGCGGCCAGGATAGGAAAGCCATCGCCCTCCTGGCATCGACGCCGCCGCGCTCTAAGGTCTCGTGGTCGCCAGCGTCTTGCCTCTGGCTTCCGGCCCACACAGGTGCAACGAAGGCTCCTCTTGAGCCATCACGCCACCAACCGCTCGCTTGGCCACCTCCTAATGGGCCGCGGCGGACCCAAGTACAACGATAAGCCATGGAAGGAGCCATGGAAGGGCAAGGGCGAAGGGAAAGGAGGCGACTCGCGCCACGATGGCAAATGGTCGCTATGGCCTGGTGCCTACAAGGCATCGCCGCGTGGGGGGCGACCGGACAAGAACGACAAGCAGAAGCCCCCAGCCTTTCCGGCCTACGATGCCTCCTGGCGCCAAGCTGCCCAGATGATGGAAGTTTCGACTTTGCCATCCTCCCAGGCAGGTGGTCGCGGTATAGTCCGAGATGTGCAAGGAGCCGTAAACGCAGCTCGACGGTTCGAGCAGAAGCTGGCGAAGTCCCGCAAGGAGCTCCTGCAAAAGGGCCAAGCATGGGACTCCTGGGTGCTTCAGATGCGGAGCTCCTACCACAAAGGATCCTGGCTGCGGCTCCTCCGGGCATTTCTACCCCAGTGCGGGCTACCACGACGGCCCCGCGCACGCCGCCCGGTCCTGTTCCTGCAGCTCCTCGTGGCGACACTCCTTCGCAAGCGGGTGTCAACGACCCTTATCTCGTGCCTGGCGGAGCTGGAACTGCGATGGTCCCCGACCCACTGCAACCTTCTGGATTGGTGGATCCGAGGAAGCCACCACAGCATCCACAACTGCCAGATCGATCTGCAGCCCAGTCAGCCCTTGCAGGCAAGCTTTCCGAGAAGCGGCGTGCTTACAGATCGGCCATGGCCCCTTTTGGGCTAGTGAAACCTACAGAAGGCGATCGGCCAGCGAACCCTCCAGGCCGCCCTGGGCCTGTTCCGGCGGACACAGGACAGGCCCTTCTAGACGACGACCCGGACGAGATGTTTGCTACATTCTCACCTGGGCTTGGTGCGATGGAGTGAGCTTTGGTAGGCAGCATTCCCTAGCGCCGAAGTTCGGTTTTTGTGGGATTGACAGGCTGCCAGGGCGAATTGAGTACAGAGCTTCATTGGGGAAGCTCTGTTCCTCTTACGACCCTGTCGGCCAATGTCCTTTCTGCAAACACTGTGCCGGAGCTGCTAGTGGAGTGCTGCGGTTTCACTGTAGGCTGTCTCCCTTTCCCTGGCTGAGCGGGCAGTTTCCACCTCCCTCTCTGATTCCTTCAGGGCCCTTGATTTGGGATTTGGCCCTTTCCCTTTCACCTCGTTGGATTTCTGAGGTTCTGGGGGACTTGTACGTCTCTCGTTGGACTCTTCCACAGTTTGGCTTCCCAAATGCGCCAAAAACGCGTATCGGTGGCTCAGGGACGCGTGCTACGGGTTGCCAAGCAGTTTGGACTTCTGTATCTGTTGAGGTTTTCGTTCCTCCACCTCCTTGCCCTTCCGCAGTTTGCCGCAGTTTTGTTCTGCCTGCCCCTCCCATGACCCTAGGTGGTTTAGTTCCTCCTCTCCCCCTTGGTCTTTTGGGAGTCGGTTGTAGCGCGTGTGGCAGCAGTCGGGTGTGGGCGCCAATGCCCGCCCTTCCCAAACCCAGCAAGGCATCACTGGAACTGTCCTTCTGGATCTCCTGTGTCGAGCAGATTCTTCCACAGCTTGGTTCCCCAAATGCGCCAAAAACGCGTATCGGTGGCTCAGGGACGCGTGCTACGGTCTGCCAAGCTGTTTGGACCTCTGTATCTGTTGAGGATTTCGCCCCTTCATCTCCTTGTCCTTCCGCAGCTTGCCACGGTTTTGCCTTGCCTACCCTACCCATTGCCCTAGGCGGTTTAGGTCCTCTTCCCCCCCTAGGCCTTTTGGGAGTAGTTTGTAGCGCGCGTGGCAGCAGCCGGGTGTCGGGCATCACCGGAACTGCCCTCTTGGGTCTCCTGTGTCGAGCAATGGCTCGCAGCCTTCTTCAGGGGCCTGGCCCTGGTTGTCCTTCTGGCGTTGCATCGCGTCTTTCTCTTGCAATGCCCAGGTAAGGGATTTCCCCTGTGGAATTTCCTAAGCCTTTTCTCTGTTGGCGCTTGCCCCAAGGTGCTGGGGCCCCTTGGGCATGTAGGATCGCTAGACGGGCCCCTAGACTGGTCGCCTGGAACCTCTAAGCAGAGTAGGAGGGCCGCTCGGAGACAATACTGTACTAGGTCCGGCCCTTCCCGCCTAGGAGGTTCCTTCCTTCGGTTCTTCGGTTTAACTGTAGGCAGTCTTCCAGTACAGGTCTGGTCGGCACCTCCCGGTCTTGCCGAGGTACAACGTGTCTGTACCGACATTACAAGTGGGTTTCCTGATAGATTCCCCGCCACATGGGATTCTACTTACCCTCTTTCTGGGCGTAGCCTTTCAGCCGTAGATCCTGATCAGGCTGCCACTCCGCTTGGACCCTTCGGGTTGAAGGAGTTACACTGTCTGTTGTATGCACCAGGCTATGCCTCGGAACACCACGACATAAGCCTGTCCCTGCCGGCCCTAGTCGATTCTGTCCTCCAGAGCTTGGCCTCCCGATCAAGCCTTTTGATGAGGCTGGCGACGGCTCAAATCGTGCCGGTGCGGCCGCAGCCTGAGGAAGGGTATGCCTCTTTGGTGGTTTGCCCCCTCTGGGTTTCCCGTTCGCACAAAGCGGTAGTAGTCCTGGACTTCTCGGCCTTTGAGGGGCCTACATATGCCTGCATTGTGCCGTCCTGTTTGGCATACGAGGACCTGGACTTTTTTGTGCAGAAACACATCTGTGATCCTTGGTCAGTCTTCATTGGGGATGCCTCACGGCCCCTTCCTTTTGGTGATTCCTGCTCTGTTCAAAATGGCACCCTTGTGACCTTCGTCCAAGCTGATACCGTGCATTGGGGGCTGCCTCCCTTGGAGCACTTCCTGCTTTCGCCGGACGAATGGATTGAATGCCCACGCAAGGTACGGAAGGAGTTGCCATCCGATCACTGGCTGCTCTTTCTTGAAGAAGACCAAGGTTGGAGTACCCGACTACTGCCTCATGATGGTGACTTCGATGATGAGCTGTGCAGTGTCATCGCAACGAAGATGCATCGCCGCGTTGAATCTGTTTCCTTCTGCATGCCTGAGGCGGGTACCAACCCGGCAATAGTTTTCGATGGGTACGCTACCTCTCGCATAATCGCAGCCACTTTCAAAAATGCTGGAGCCAGCACCCCTGAATGCGTTGTATTCCTTGACGCGCGGCAGATGGGCAAGTCTCTCCGATGCCTTAAGGTGCGAACACCCCTGCTGACAATGCGTGAGGCTGTCCAATCGCTTTGCCTTGTGCCAGTTTCGGGATTTCGTAGCTACGCAGAGCACCCGCGCTTAGAGGTCGAAGGCCTTGCTATTGCCAATGGCAATATTGTGGCGCTCGGTCTAGAAACCGACCCTAATGCCCTAAGTCCGCGTTCTGCTGAGCGCTTGTCGGGCGCCGCGAGTTTGCACCCTAGTGCGTCTGGTGAGCGCATCCCCCTTACCGAGCCTGGTGGGGGCCTTCTTATGGAGGCTAGTGATGACCGGGCAGCCAAGAGTGCCACAGTTCGCTTCCTAGTGTGTGCGCCAGCGTTTGCTATTGAGCAGGTCGATGTCAAGTTGGATTTGCCTTGCTCAGTGCATGCAGCTGGCCAACTGCTAGCGAACGCTCGGGGTGAGACCAACGCGCGGCGTTTCGAGTATCTTGTGCCAGCCAAGCCTCAGCCTGATTTAGGTTTTGCCGTTGTCTTGGCGGCGCCCTTATGGGCCGAACTTCAGGTCTTTGTGCTGGTTGATACGCGTCTCCTTGACTCGCGCATGTTTCTTTTCGAGTCTGGAGACCGCTTGAGCCGGCAGGCATTCCTCACCAAAATCAGCGTTATTGACCGGCCAGGTTTGCGCATTTTTGTGCGCGGTTACTTTGTGCCAGAGGCAGAGGTCATCATCTTCGCTCAAGGTGATACCGTTAGTGTGCTACCCCCTGGTACACCCCTTGGGTACATGACAGACCTCGATTACCTCCTAAATGAGCAGTCTTGGCGAGATCTAGCCCCTGTGCACCTTGCTGGGCCGTCGCCCTCGGCATTTGGCTTGCTCTTTGATGAAGGTTTCAAAGTTGTCGAATTCGACCTTTCCAAGGTGCAGTCAGGTCGTGATTTCAAGATTGCCACAGCCTGCTTCTTGCAATATGATCTGGGTCGAGTGCGATTTCAGCCAGCTGACCCTAAAATCCGAGACTTCGCCCATCGCGGCCAAGGATGCCAGGCCATTTTTGTTGCAACTGAGGCTATCCCGCATTCAGCGGTCGGTGGAGACCCCAACACGAACCTCAACATTCTTTTCTTCGACCTTCGAGCCCTGCTGCGTGGGCTTGAATGGCGCATCCATGAGGGTGAAACCCTGCTGCTAGCCCCTCTTGTCAGAGAGTTCTCGGCTGGCAAACCAGCTGGGTACGAGGTTGTGATCACCGGGGGCACCCCGATTGACTCTGGACAGGGCCCGGCTCTCCGTGTCTCCCCTGGGAGTGTCATTGTCGTTGAGTACTATCATGACTTTCTCAATGAGCCATACTCTATCGACGTTGACTCAGCAGACATTCCCGACAATGATCATGACGAGGAAGAGGAAGAGGAATCGAGCTCAACTTCCTCCTCTTCTTCCACTCCTGCAAGGATAGGTGCGCGAAACCGTATTAGATCCCGGTCTGAGGGTCGTTTGCGGTCGCGGTCCCGAGGCCGCACTCATGTTCATCATGTCACCCTGATGCCTGGGCTTCCGCATCATAGGTGCCAGCCAGCTCATAGGTGTGGACACGTCCGGTCCAGTCCCTACCCCCCTGCCGGCTTACCGACAGCTGTCCTGATGTTAGCAAGTCTCTCATTGGCCCAAGCTACACACCTGCGTACAGGCGTACCGGACAGCCTTGTGGCCTGGGGACAGCTGCACGTACAAGCTTTTCTTGCCCTTCTCGGTAGCCTGTCCGGCTACATTGCCTGCAAGTGGTTAGCTGAACCCACTTCGTCGAGAGCAGATTTGCGTCAGGCAATCGCGTTCCTCCGTTTCTCTGCACCGATGATGGGCACCACGTGGAGGTATGTTCCGGATGCTGACGCGGAATTCATACATGTTTCCGGGGACTCCGATTCAGAGGGCTCGACTGAGGATGATCCAGTGATCTGGGCGCACTTTGCCATTGCTGTGCCTGGATACACATTGGAGCGTGTGCTTGTTGCCTTACGTTTTCCGGCTACGATTGAAGAGGCACTTGCCGCGGTAAGGCAGGCTAGGCGCCCCGCAGAAGCGGGCCTCTTCCCGACTTTGATTGCCGCTGACCCGCAGCCTTGTCCGGGAGCCGGCCTGCTCCTTGCCTTGCCTGAACGGGAGCTCCCCCGTTGCATGATCTGTGTTGACGCCACGCTTTTTGACCGGCGGTTGTTTTCCGTTCTTGCGCCAGCATATGTGTGTCGCTCGCAGCTGCTTGCACTTGCCAATTTTCAGGACAATCTGGGTGTGCAAGTCTTCCTTGGCAGCGACCAGCAACCCCTTGCCAACGAAGAAATGCAGCACGTGCGCTCCGGAACTACAGTCTCTTTCCTTCCGCTTGATGTGGGGCGGCAACATCCTTTTTCCTTGGGTCAGCTTTTGGCCTCAAGGTACTCCTGGAGTCAGCACTCTTCCATCCCAGCCCTTGAGGATGCTAATGCCTATTGCCTTGCGTACGACTGGGAGACTATACTGCATATTGCTGATCCGCGCCATCCCACCGACTACCGCCGTCACATTGCTGCTTGCGTCGGAGCTGACAGCCGTTCGCTTAAACTCTGTCCGGCGGCACCGCGCGTTGACAATGTAGTCCTGGATGGGGTTCTGTGCAGGACCGCAATCGCAGTATGTGCCGCTACACAGGGTGCGGCTCCAGTCAGGGTTGGCGTCTTGATTGACGCACGCGCGCTCCTAATGGGCTGGCGTTCCATTAGTCTGTTAGATGGATGGATCCGGCCAAATCGGGTTCTAGGTGATTATAGTCAGGATGTGCCCCCTGGCTGGGTTCTACGAATCCGGGATGTTCCTGAACGAGCTGAGTTTATCCACGTCCACGACGGACAGGTCCTAACCCTCTGCATTCATAAGATCTTGCCAGCCGAGCCTGCTCGACTCGTCCATCATGCCCCTGACACTGCCAACACGGCGCCCGCGGGGAGTGCCCATGCCGACGCAGCGCCGAGCGTGCCGCGTGTAGGTAGTGCAGGCGAGGCATACCCTGATGATGCGCTTAATGCGGCCGCCCCTGGTTTTGGCGAGGCTCTCGAAGTTGTAGACCCTGGGGCCAACGTTGAGGACCCCGCATTTATCGATGCACCCTTCCTTGTCGTCGGGCCGGCTTACACTCCCGAGCTCGTCCAGATTAGGTTTAGGGTAGCCACTCCACCGGCTCAGGTGCTGCGACAGGTTAACGCGGCTCGGGCCCCGGAGCCTTGCTTCCACCTTCCCCGTATCATTGCTGCGCATCCGCAGTCTGTTGCCGGCATAGGGGTTGCAGTTGCGCTCCCGATCTGGGAACCCAACGGTGCCATCATCCTGGTCGATCTTTCTAGGGTAAATGGTGCAGTTTTCTCCGTGCAGGCTCCGAACCGGGTTGACCGTCGGACCATCCTTGCACTAGCGGAGCTGCCGTTGGACCAGGGCCACCAAGCTTATGTGCATGATCTTCCCTGGCCGGTCCCGGATGGCGGTTTCGTTAATGTCAGACATGGGGATGCGGTTGTTGTCCTTGAGGCACATAGCCCCCATTTTGCTACTGCTTCCTTTGTGGACATTTTGGGATCCGTGCACGGTTGGAATGTCGAGTGGGCACCTGGGCTCGAATACCGGCGCTCTTTCTGGGTCCTCACAGCCTACCGCCCCTTTTTGTTGCATGTCGAAGCAGACAGACGGGATTTTTTCCGTGCAGACATTGCGCAACGCCTTGCTGTGCCGCCAGGACGCTTGTTGCTGTGCCCAACAGAGCCCAACATTGTCAACTTTGCGCACATCGGTCTCCCAGCACAGGGGGTTCTTGCGGCCGTTGTCAGGAATGGCCCCCTTAGTGTGCGGCATGCTGACGTAAACTTTTTCCTTGATTGCCGACCCTTGCTCTTAGGGATTTCCTGGCGCACGTCCCCCGACGGTATTCTGAGGGCCGAAAGCATCTGGGATCAGTACCGGACCCGATGCCCAGCGGGCTGGGTTCTTGGATGGAGCCGTGCCCAGAACCGGCCGGAGTTCCTGCACTCTGACATTCAAGTCGGCGAAGGTGAAGTTATCACCATCAACATACTTCCCTTGGATTTCTTTGAGGGTTTCGGGCAGAATCAACCGCCCAGTTATCCTCCGCCGCCGCCGTCCTCGGAGAGACCCGATGCAGATGGTAGTCAGCCGACTGCCAGTGAGCACGCCCGTTCTGCTTCCAGCTCTGACCCCGTTGTATTTTCAGCTCGGGATGCGGGTACCGGTGGTTCGCATAGTTACGGGACTTCGGAAGTATGCGCTGTTCGCAAGTCCGGCATACGCCGGCCTATATGGTGTTTCAGGCAGAGTCGAGTAGCCAAGTGGCCTGCGGGTTTTAGTGTACGTGTCCCCCCAACGGGCAGCCTGTGGGTCACCCCTGTCCTCCTCTGTCCGGGCCCTTTCACATGGGTCCTCCTAGTATTCGCCCTGTTAAGTCAGGTTGGTGTAGTGCAGACTGTTGTCCGTTTGACTATTGTCTGTGCCTCTCTAGCCGTGCCAGGCCAGGGAGCAGCCGGCCGACGACTTGCACTCTTGGTGCTCATTGGGCTCAGCTTGCCAACCGCTGAGGCGATGCACTTTCAACCACCCCTTTCTATTGCTGGGAGTTGTGCTGGTCCTCCCTATACTGAGAGCGTGAGCTGTTGGACACACTGCACTCGCCCGTTGCCCACACCTGTGCGAGCTGCCAGGGCTCTCTGTGCGGAACAAGCTCCTTATGCGCTTGACACCTGGGTAAGCCCTGACGCAGCCGGCAATGGGCAGGATACCCTTGATTTGGATGTGCTGACTACCCTGCTTGAGGAAAGTGTCTCTGATCCTGCCAATGAAGCCTTTTTCCGTGCGGCTACTTTGCTTGAAGTTCTAGCCGAGCATTTTGCAGAGGGTAGTGCCACCTCCACTGTCAACCTCTCTGTCGCCCCTGATAGGCGTCCGACTCAAATCCTTCTGTTTGAGTCCCTCGCTTTTGATCGAGTACCATCAGAACTCCAAGCAAATGGCCATGAAGAATCAAGGCTTCCCCTTGTGCATTGGAAAAGAGGGCTACGCCCACATGGCAGCGTGCATGCGACATGCGATATTTTCGGGGCTGACTATGACCGACGGCTTGCATTTGGCGATGTGCCTCTGCCCTTTACGCCTAGGCAGCTCCATCAGCTCTTCCGTCCTGATTTCTGCACTCTGTCTATTGCTGATTGCCTCGATGCACTGCAGCCCAGTCAGCGACACATCCTGCGCCGGCTAGTTGACCAGCCTGAGGATTCCCTGCCCTGGGACCTCGTATGCTACACTGACGGCTCCTTTGTGCCGAGCGATGGGACCCGCAGCAGCAGAGCCGGATGGGCCTGCATTTTCCTCCACAGGACCAGACAAGAATGTGATATCATTTCGGGTACCCTTCCATCCTGGTGTGTTACCGAAGATTCCGACCTCTCTGCTTTCAAAGCCGAATGCTGCGCCCTTGTAGTAGCTTTGTGGTTAGGGACTTCTGTCACAGCTGGGGTCCCGTTTACCATCCTATCGGATTGTCAAGCCGCTGTTGCTATTGCCAATGGTGAAGCGGCTGCGCACAGCAGCGGCATCGCAGTTGTTTTGGGACATGTGGCGGAGTGCTGCCGCGCAGTCGCAACCCGTCCTGCTGCGATTGTCCACACTCCAGGCCATGCAGGGACACTCGGCAACGAGATAGCCGATGTTTCGGCTAAAGCTGCTGCACACGGTCTCCCTCATGGCTGGCTGTCGTGGGAGGTTGACAAAGAGTTGAATTGGTGGGATAACCAAGGGGAGAAATGGTCCTGGGCAAGCCTCGTCTGCCGCTGGGCTGCAGGAGATGATGCACTCCCATCACCCCTTGGTGATAATATCCACCTGGAACGACATAATGCAGGTTTGTCTGTTGAGCAGCTCCTTGAGCCGTTCCTGCCTCCACCCTCCAAGAGCTCCGACCTTGAACGATGGGGTGCCATCGGCTTGCGCATTTCCTCCTACAATGCCCTGTCTCTCGCCACTGAACGGCACAGAGTTGCCGAAGAAGGGCTCGCGTTCCAGCCGGCCCGACCGGCCCTGCTCGCAGGGCAGTTGCACGAAGCGGGCATCCACTGTGCAGCCATCCAGGAAACGCGTACGGCAGAAGGTGTTGTCAGCACGAGCGGCTTCCTTCGCTTCTGCTCTGGTGCTACCAAAGGCCATCTGGGTGTAGAGCTCTGGTTCAAAACAGGGCACAAACTTGGACCTCTGCTGACATTACTGCTGCGAACATGGTTCTTGATCATGTTGCTACCGTTGTTGACGTCCGTCTTCGTACGAAGGGCTCTGGGGCGCCTTCCACTAATCGTAGGCCGGGCATTGACCTAAGGGCTCTCACCGATCCGGCAAATGCTGGTACTGTTGATGGAATTCTCCAGCGTGCCCCTAGGCCCGAATGGTCAGTCTCGGCCGATGCTCATGTGGCGATTGTGACCTCGTATTTGCAAACCAGCCTTGCTCAGGCATTTCCCAAAACCAATCGGCGACCCTTGCACCCGTACCTGTCAAATGATGCGTGGGACTTGCAGCAGCATGTGGCTCGCCTTCGTCGTAAGTGTGTTGCTGTTAAGCACGCCATCCGAAGACAGACCCTTTGTGCCGTTTTTGCTGCTTGGAGGCACTTACCTCAGGTTGCGCCTGCAGGCTCAGCAGCGTGGCTGAGGGACTGGCAGGTCGCTGATGCTTTGTATGGCTTTCGCCTTGGGGTCTTGGCCAAAACCCTCAAGGCTCGCTGCAAAGCGGACCGTGCGGCCTATCTTGCCAATCTTGCTGACGAGGTACAAGCTGGCCGAGCCTTCGCTTTCCAGTCTGTCAACCGCATGCTCGGCCGGCGCCGTAAGAAACCTTTTGCCCCGGCAGTTTTACCTGCGGTTCAGGAATTAGACGGCTCACTTTGCGCATCCCCAGAAGCAGCCATGCGCCGTTGGCGTGAGCATTTCAGCGCCCTTGAAGACGGCGTCGAAGTGTCCCGGGATGAGCTTCCTGAGCTCTCGGCCTTGTGTCAAGGGGCGGACTGGCCCAGCCCTTCGGACGTGCGAGTCTTGCCAACACCTCTGGCCTTGCAACAGGCGCTGCTGGCCGCCAAGCGTGGCAAAGCGAGCGGCCCAGACTCGCTGCCCGGAGAACTTGGTCTGCTTTTCGCACCGGGCATGCAGAGACTGCTCTACCCGTTGCTGCTCAAATTGGGGCTTTTAGGTGAAGAAGCTGTAGGCCATAAGAGTGGTTGCCTCACGTGGCTATGGAAAGGTAGGGGTTCCCAAAGCGACTGTGCCTCTTTTCGGGGTATTCTCTTGCTTTCGAACCTGTGTAAGTCGTTACACAGGGCATACCGTCCGTGCATACGGGACCACTTCGAAGCCCAGACCCCTCCCTTGCAATTAGGGGGCAAGCCCGGCGGCAGCGTTATTTTCGGTTCGCACCTTGCGCGTACCTTCATGAGATGGAGAGCGGCCTCCGGCGGGTCATCTGCCATCCTTTTTGCCGACGTTTCCTCTGCCTACTATTGTGCTATCAGGGAGCTCACTTCTAAGATGCCCGTCCGTGCATCTGAGCAGGGTGAGGAGCTCTGTTCCGATGACCCCATGACCCTGGAGTTCCAATTGCGTGCTCCCTCTGCCATGGAGCGCACAGGAGCCAGTCCGTGGCTCCAAGCCCTAACTACTGCCATTAATAGTGGCACGTGGATGCACCTGCAAGGTGACCACGTGCCGGTCTCGACCCGGCGTGGAACCCGCCCGGGCTCTGCTTGGGCTGACCTTAGCTTTGGCATCTTAGTTGGGAGGATCCTTCAGCTGCGGGACTCATGCAGGGCACCACAGCGCCAGGACTCGGTTGTGCCTTCGGTCCCGTGGGACGGTGCCAGACATTGGGGGCCGATTGAGGCCTCGACCCAACATATCGATTTAGATGATCTTATCTGGGCCGACGATTTATCGACTTTCCTGCACATCAACAATGCCGTGGAGGCTGCCTCCATTGTTGCGGTTGAAACAGGGGCCCTGTCAGACGCTTTCAGCGGACACGGCCTCCAGCTTACTTTTGGACAGCGTAAAACAGCGGCTTTGATTTCGCTGCGTGGACCCGGGGCTCGAAGTGCTCGCCGAAACTTGTTTTCGGGCCAAGCGTCTCTCTGCGTCTTGCGTGAAAGCCAATCACCTGCAAGCTTGCCGCTGATTGATACTTATCGTCACTTAGGTGTCATGCATGCCCGCGATGGAGCCATTCGTTCTGAGGTTCGTCACAGGTGCTCTGCCGCTTGGGCCACTTTCCGTGAAGGTCGTACGCGGCTTTTTCGATGCCGCCGCATCTCGCTTCGTCGACGAGGTGTTTTGCTTAACAGCCTCGTCATCAGTAAGTTGCAGTTTGGCTGCGGAGCTTGGCCCCCCCTCGGGCAAGGTGATCTCCGCAAATTTGCAGGGGCCGTCTTTGGTCTATATCGTGCAACCCTTGCGCTTGGCCAGAATGACGATCAACACCTGTCCCTTGCTGCGATTTGTGCATTGCTCGATCTGCCTGACCACATGACCATCATCCGGGCAGAACAACTGAGGTATGTCCGCCAGCTTTGTTGCTCCGGTCCCGATGCGCTTTGGGCGCTCATCCGTCAGGACGGTGCATATCTGGGAGAGCTCAGGTCCGCGATGGAGTGGCTCTATGTTCGCGTGCGTGCAACCTGCACGCTGCCCGACCCGGGGTCGCAATGGCAGGTTTGGAGTGACTTGATTTGCCACCGGCCTTCAGCTTTTAAAGGCCTGATCAAGAGGGCTCGTGGGCTAGAGCTTTGCCGCATTCAGTGCTACGCCGCCCTCCAGGCCCTCCACCGTGTGCTGAAGATTGCCAGTTGCGGAGCCGATCTTGAAGAGGTCACAGCAGGTTCTGCATGCACTGAGGCGTGCCTGATTTGCAAGCGTGGCTTTTCCAGTCGTGCTGCGTGGGCATGCCACGCGTCCAAAAAGCACGGATACAGAATCACAGCCTCTATTCTTACCGGGACTAGAGGATGCACGCTTTGTGCAGGCTGTGGTAAGAATTTTGCCAACTCCGCGAGGTTGAGGCGGCATCTCCTTCATTCCGGAGATTGCAGGTCACAATGGGGCTCTTTCCGTTCCATCGAAGCCAACCCGCCCTGCCCTAATCCAGCGGAACCTCCGGTACAGGTTGAGGGAGTCCTTGATGCAGTTGATTCCGCATGGGATCCTGCAAGCTACAACAAGGGCCTCTACGACAGCCTCTGCGTGCTTGTCAACCCGACTGCTCTGCAGGTGTGGGCGCTGGTTGTTGACTTTGTTGAGCCCTTGGACATTTTGCGAGAAACCCTGCGGCGTTGGCAGGACTCCCACGCCCATACCGTAGGTGTCGCCGAAGCGGCGGAGGACGCCATCCTCATGCTGGACCCCTCCTTATGCTGCGATACCTATAGCCCTACGAAGCCACATGTGTCCGCTTCTGAGTGCTGTGCGGATCTACCGGGACCGTTTGACCTTCACGTCCCCTTTGTTCTGTCCGGTGCCAGCGCGACCTTTCGGCTTCCTCCTCCTCCTTGCCCGGCCTTTTGCTACCCCTTCATCGGTGGTGCGCCGCTCGCAGCTGCCCGTAGGCAATCCTCCTACGTTGAGCACGTATGCGATATTCTCGGCACTGCAGTACAGCAGGCAGCTGCCTCGAGAGTATGCATTCTGGCTCCCCAACGGGCGTTAGCTGCTGTCGAGCCGGCAGCAACCTGGCTAACTCTGTCGGGTTTGTTGCAACGGCTGAAGGCTTGAGCAGTCCGGAGGAGTAGTTTCACTTCTGAATTTATCTTTTGCATTAGGCGCGACCAACGGTCTCCCAGCCTGCGGAATGAAATGTATTATGTATACGATGAATAGAGGAAGTCTTGCCTCGCCTTGTCGTCAGGAGACTGGCACTTTGCCCCATGTGCGGGCCCCAGCCGATGGCGCCGTATCAGATGTCTCATCCGCTCTTGTATTCCTACTGTCACAGTCTAAAGTAGATTGCTATATAGTCTGTCTCTGTTTCGATTTCTTAAAGCCAAATCGGTCACGCCTAAAGGCTAAACCCTAAAATTCTAGGGGCGGGGGGGCGGGGGGGAGACTCTTTCAGCTGAGGA